CCGCACTCGCATGCCGAGGATTCCACCCTGTAGCCCCATTTCTTGAGGTTGGCTCTGCATCTCGTGGTGCCAGAGCGCAGTCTGTTCAGCGCCTTCCAAGTCGCCCAGTCTTCTGAGTGCCCAGGGGGGAGTCTCTCATCTGGTATCACCCATGAATTGAGGTGCTGGGTTTGGGCCTGCCACTTTTGGACTCTCGCTTGCTGGGGTGTTCCAGCGAGTGTCTCTGTAGATCTTAGAAAACTATTCTTGATTTAAGTCGTTGACGTGCTGGCTGATACCCAAACAGGGGATGAGCTGGAGATGTCTCTGCCTTGGTCCTTTCACTATTGGCTGCTACTTCCCGGTGGATGTCAGGTGGTGCAATGCCGGCTAAGCAGTGTAATTTCTCCAGTGGTGTAGGGCGCAGACACCCCGTGATAATGCGGCATGTCTCATTAAGAGCCACATCCACTGTTTTAGTGTGGTGAGATGTGTTCCACACTGGGCATGCATACTCAGCAGCAGAGTAGCACAGCGCAAGGGCAGATGTCTTCACTGTGTCTGGTTGTGATCCCCAGGTTGTGCCATTCAGCTTTCGTATGATGTTGTTTCTAGCGCCCACTTTTTGCTTGATGTTCAGGCAGTGCTTCTTGTAGGTCAGAGCATGGTCCAAGTGACTCCCAGGTATTTGGGTGCGCTGCAATGCTCCAGTGGGATTCCTTCCCAGGTGATCCTCAGAGCTCGAGTTCCCAGGTAAACCTCAGAGCTTTTGCAGCTGACAGGTGGTGATTTTGTCAGTGCCAATTATGTTTAAGTGCAGACCAATGTCTTTAGGCACTGCACCCACTCTGTGCTGATCACCACTGGGACCGCCTTGACTGGCTTGTTCCAGATTCTTTGCAGTTTAATCTTTAAATCCTCGTATCGTGTCAGCTTTTCCAGTTGTTTCTCTTCAATCCTGCTGTTGCCTTGGATTGCAACATCAACAATCCATACTTGGTTTTTTAACAAGATTGTGAGGTCAGGAGTATTGTGCTCCAGAACTCTTGTCAGTCTGAATTTGGAAGTCCCAGAGGAGTTTGATGTGTTTTATTATTATTATTATTATTATTATTATTATTATTATTATTATTATTATTATTAGCCGTTCCCTGCCACGCATTGCTGTGGCCCACTCTGGTGGTCATGGGGGTTCTGTGTGGGAGGTTTGGCCCAATTCTATCATTGGTGGGGTTCAGAATGCTCTGTGATTGTAGGTGAACTACAACTCCTAGCAACTACAACTCCCAAATGTCAAGATTCCATTTTCCCCAAACTCCACTAGTGATCACATTTGGGCATATCGAGTATTCGTGTAAATTTGGTCCCGATCCATCACTGTTTGAGTCCACAGTGATCTCTGGATGTAGGTGAACTACAACTCCAAAAGCAAAGGACACTGGCCACCAAACCCTTCTAGTATTTTCTGTTGGTCATGGGAGAACTGTGTGCCAAGTTTGGTTCAATTCCATTGTTGGTGGAGTTCAGAGTGCTCTTTGATTATAGGTGAACTATAAATCCCAACAACTACAACTCCCAAATGACAAAATCAATTCCCCGCACAACCCCACCAGTACTCAGACTTGGGCGTATCAGGTATTTGTTGGATATTTGTGCCAAATTTGGTCCAGTGAAGGAAAAAACATCCTCATATCAGATAGTTACATTACAATAATGTTATGGTTGGTGGTCACCATAACCTGAGGAACTGCATTAGGAAGGTTGAGAACCACTGCCTTAAACGGTTCTGGCCCAGATTACCTGTCTGATCATATCTCCTGTTACGAACCATAACAAAGCTTAAGATCGCCAGGAGAGGCCCTGCTCTCGATCCCACCACCTTCGCAAACGCGTTTGGTGGGGACGAGAGACAGGGCCTTCTTGGCAGTGGCCCCCAGTCTGTGGAACTCTCTCCCTAAGGACATCAGGTTGGTCACCTCTCTCTAGTCCTTTGAAGACATGGCTTTGGGACCAGGCGTTCGATTAGTGGATAGTCGCAATTGGAAAGAAACCCAGGATATCTGCGACATTGGATTTACCCTGACTTGGATTTGGTTTTAATTGGCATGTTTACTTTGTTGTTTAATGGATTGTATAATGTGTTTTTAATTATTTTTAATGTTTTAAATGTAATTTTGATGGTTTATATGCTGATAGCATCATATGATGCTTGTGTGAGGCCTCCATGAAATAATCTATATAAATAAAAATTTAATGTTCGTTTGTGGGATTAACAGAACGCAAAAACCACTGGACAAATTGACACCAAATTTGGACACAAGACACCTAACAACCCAATGTATGTCCTTCACTCAAAAAAAATATGATTTTGTCATTTGGGAGTTGTAGTTGCTGGGATTTATAGTTCACCTACAATCAAAGAGCATCCTGAACCCTTGTTCCAATTGACTTGTAAACCTGTTGTTTTCCCAAACATACTGGAAGGGTTTGGTGGGCAGTGTCCTTTGGTTTTGGAGTTGTAGTTCACCTACATCCAGAGAGCAATGTGGACTCAAGCAATGATGGATCTGGACCAAACTCTACATGAATACTCAATATGCCTAAATGTGAACACTGGTGGAGTTTGGGGAAAATAGAATCTGGACATTTGGGAGTTGTAGTTGCCGGGATTTATAGTTCACCTACAATCACAGAGCATTCTGAACCCCACCAACGATAGAATCGGGCCAAACCTCCCACACAGAACCCCTATGACCACCAGAGTGGGCCACAGCAACACGTGGCAGGGGACAGCTAGTAAATAATAAATAAATAGTTTCCAGACCTTTGATCTGGAATCTAGTCTTAAGCTGAACATGAGCCAGGAATGTGATGCGGCAGCGAAAAAAGCCAATGCAATTCTACGCCGCATCCATAGGAGTCTATTGCCTGGATGGAGGGAAGTCATAGTCCCATTCTGCTTTGGTCTTAATAGAATGGGATACATAGTATATAAAAGATACAAGCTATACAAAAAACATCAAATTGATATATTTTACTAAATTGATATATTTTACATGATAGCAGGGTATAGCTGCTGCTAGGTCCATCCCAGAGCCTCTAGCCAGGCTTTAGCATTTTGCAACTCCGGATTTCCGAAAAAGGAGATATATTTACGTGTAGTCTCTTACTGAACTATAACTCTTTGGGAGGGGCTTGATAGCAGTGTGAATGCAATCATCGATAGCACATGAATCAAATATTGACATATCTCCTTGTTCGGTTGCACACAACTTCCGCTGCAGAAGGAAAATCAATCTCACCCACTCCTGCCTTGGAAAAAAGTAACTTTGCAAAAGCTGTAGACGCCCACTGCAACAAGTATAGCCAATGGAGGATTCTGGGAATTGCAACACACAAACAATAACAACTTGTCCAAAGTCTGGGAAGTATCTTCGGGTGCATCTACATTGCGGAATTAATGCAGTTTGATACCACTTTTACGTGCTGTGCCTCAAAGCAATGGAACTGCTAACAGGGCCCCCTCCTACACTGCCATATAATCCAGATTATCAAAACAAATAAGACACATTATCTGCTTTGGACTGGATTATATGAGTCTACAGTGCCGTATAATCCAGATGATTGAAGCAGATAATCCACATTATCTGGTTTGAACTGGATTATGTGAGTCTACAGTGCCGTATAATCCAGATTATTGAAGCAAATAATCCACATTATCTGCTTTGAACTGGATTGTGTGAGTCTACAATACGGTATAATCTAGATGATCAAAGCCGATAATCCACATTATCTGGTTTGAACTGGATTATGTGAGTCCACGGTGCCATATAATCCAGATTATCAAAGCAAATAATCCACATTATCTGCTTTGGACTGGATTATGTGAGTCTATACTGCCATATAATCTAGATGACCAAAGCAGATAATCCACATTATCTGGTTTGAACTGGATTGTGTGAATCTACACTGCTGTATAATTCAGATGATCAAAGCAGATAATCCACATTATATGCTTTCAACTGGATTATGTGAATCCACAGTGCCATATAATCCAGATTATCAAAACAGATAATCCACATTATCTGCTTTGGACTGGATTATGTGGGTCTACACTGCCGTGTAATCCAGATGATTGAAGCAGATAATCCAAATTATCTGCTTTGGACTGGATTATGTGAGTCCACATTGCCATATAATCCAGATGATCAATGCAAATAAAACACATTATCTGCTTTGGACTGGATTATGGGAGTCTACACTGCTATATAATCCAGATGATCAACGCAAATAAAACACATTATTTGCTTTGGGCTGGATTATGTAAATCCACACTGCCATATAATCCAGATTATCAAAGCAGATAATCCACATTATCAGCTTTGGACTGGATCATGGGAGTCTACACTGCTATATAATCCAGATGATCAACGCAAATAAAACACATTATTTGCTTTGGACTGGATTATGTGAGTCCACACTGCCATATAATCCAGATTATCAAAGCAGATAATCCACATCTGCTTTGGACTGCATTATGTGAGTCCACACTGCCATATAATCCAGATTATCAAAGCAGATAATCCACATTATCTGCTTTGGACTGGATTATGTGAGTCCACAGTGCCATATAATCCAGTTCAAAGAAGATAATCTGGATTTTATACAGCAGTGTAGAAGGGGCAAGGGAAGAGGATGGCCTGGATGGCCTTTGGGGGTCCCAAAATTTAGTGAGGCACCAGCACTATTTGTCAAAGAAAGCTAAAAACTTTTTGAAACTAGAAATCTCAGAATTCCATGGAGCCATGGCAGTTAAAGCGGTGTGAAACTGCATTAAATCTACAGTGTAGCTGCACCTTGGTGGTGGAAGGGTTTTGCAGCCATTGAAGGATGCTGAGGACAAAAGAGGAAGGCGAAGGAGAGAAACCGGGACATTTTAATACCATCTAGAAAACTACAATCAAAGTGGATTAATGGATTTGTGCTTATTTATCATGCCTTATATATATATATTTCTATAGGAAGGAGATGAGAATGCTGGGAGTGGTGTTACCGCCACCTTAATCCTGTCCGTCTTCACCGCCGTTTTGGGTTCCCTGCAGTTTGGGTACAACATCGGCGTCATCAATGCACCGCAAAAGGTACAGAAGGCAAATGGAGCTTAACGAAGCGAAGGGTGGGAGGGTTTTAACGTCATCACTGGGCCTCTGAGCATGTGCAGATGTCAGTTTGGAGAGCACCGGAGTCGTCACTGGAGAAGGTATGTTTTCTGGTTTGCATTATTTTTAGATTGTTTACATTGCAAAGCGGGTCTGGGCAAACTTGGGCCCTCCCTCCAGGTGTTTTGGACTACAACTCCCACAATTCCTAACAGCTGGTAGGCTGTTAGGAATTGTGGGAGTTGTAGTCCAAAACACCTGGAGGGAGGGCCCAAGTTTGCGCAGGCAAGTCATTTTCTCCTGCTTCGGGATGATGAGGAGACTGACCATCCGTTCCTTTGCGCAGATCATTGAGCAGAACTACAATGCCACCTGGATGGAGCGCCAGGGAGTGGAGCACCCGACGCCCATCGAGCCAAACACCCTCAAGATGCTCTGGTCCCTCTCGGTGGCCATCTTCTCCATTGGGGGCATGGTCTCCTCCTTCATGGTGGGCATCGTCTCAGAATGGCTTGGCAGGTGAGACCTCTCCTCTTGCTTGAGCATGCCATCCATTGCACCACAATCAGAGAGTGAGCATGTGTAGAATGACTTGGGTGTTCCATTGCATCACATTGTGCCACATTGGAGAATCAGAGTGACTCTGAGCATGCGCAGAATGCCTTGGGTGTTCTGTTGCACGCCTTGGGGAATCAGAGTGACTCTGAGCATGCGCAGAATGCCTTGGGTGTTCCATTGCATCACATTGTGCCACATTGGAGAATCAGAGTGACTCTGAGCATGCGCAGAATGCCTTGGGTGTTCTGTGGCACCGCATTGGGGAATCAGAGAGTGACTTCGAGTATGTGCAGAGTGGCTTGGGCATTCTGTTGCACCGTATTGGGGAATCAGAATTACTCTGAGCATGCGCAGAATGCCTTCGACATTCCGTTGCACCACATTGTGCCACTTTGGGGAATCAGAAGGCAACTCTGAGCATGGGCAGAGTGCCCTGGACATTCCATTGCACCATATTGCGCCACATTGGGGAATCAGAGGGTGACTTTGTGCATGTGCAGAGTGCTTTGGATGTTCCATTGCGCCACACTGGAGAATCAGAGGGCGACTCTGAGCAAGTGCAGAGTGCCTCGGGAGGTCCATTGCATCACATTGAGGAATCAGATAATTACTCTGCGCATGTGCAGAGTGCCTTGGGCATTTCATTGCACTGCTTTGAACCACATTGGGGAATCAGATGGCAACTCTGAGCATGTGCAGAGTGCCTTTGGCATTCCATTGCACTGCATTGAGGAATCAGAGAATGACTCTGAGCATGTGCAGAGTGCCTTTGGCATTCCATTGCACCATAATGGGGAATCAGAGGGTGACTCTGAGCACGCGCGGAGTGCCTCGGCCGGTCCATTGCATCACATTGAGGAATCAGATTTATTTTTTATTTTTTTTGTCGTGTCAGGAGCGACTTGAGAAACTGCAAGTCGCTTCTGGTGTGAGAGAATTGGCCGTCTGCAAGGACGTTGCCCAGGGGACGCCTGGATGATTTGATGTTTTTATCATCCTTGTGGGAGGCTTCTCTCATGTCCCCGCATGAGGAGCTGGAGCTGATAGAGGGAGCTCATCTCTCCCGGATTTGAACCTGTGACCTGCCGGTCTTCAGTCCTGCCGGCACAGGGGTTTAACCCATTGCGCCACGGGGGCTCCTATCAGATAATTAGTCAGCGCATATGCAGAGTGCCTTGGGCATTTCATTGCACCACACTGAACCACATTGGGGAATCAGAGGGTGACTTTGTGCATGTGCAAAGTGCTTTGGGTGTTCCATTGCACCACCCTGGAGAATCAGAGGGCGACTCTGAGCAAGGGCGGTCCATTGCATCACATTGAGGAATCAGATAATTACTCTGCGCATGTGCAGAGTACCTTGGGCATTTCATTGCACCGCTTTGAACCACACTGGGGAATCAGAAGGCAACTCTGAGCATGTGCAGAGTGCCTTTGGCATTCCATTGCACCATAATAGGGAATCAGAGGGTGACCCTGAGCATGTGCAGAGTGCCTTGGATAGTCCATTGCTCCACACTGGGGAATCTGAGAGTGACTCTGAGCATATGCAGGGTGCTTTGGGCATTCCATTGCACCACATTAAGGAATCCGAGGGTTACTCTGAGCATGTGCAGAGTGTCTTGGACGTTCTGCACCACATGCGAAATCTGAGGGTTACTCTGAACATGTGCAGAGTGTCTTGGACGTTCCATTGCACCACATTGCGAAATCTGAGGGTTACTCTGAACATGTGCAGAGTGTCTTGGACGTTCCATTGCACCACATTGCGAAATCTGAGGGTTACTCTGAGCATGTGCAGAGTGTCTTGGACGTTCCATTGCACCACATTGCGAAATCTGAGGGTTACTCTGAACATGTGCAGAGTGTCTTGGACGTTCCATTGCACCACATTGCAAAATCTGAGGGTTACTCTGAGCATGTGCAGAGTGTCTTGGACGTTCCATTGCACCACATTGCGAAATCTGAGGGTTACTCTGAGCATGTGCAGAGTGTCTTGGACGTTCCATTGCACCACAATGCGAAATCTGAGGGTTACTCTGAACATGTGCAGAGTGTCTTGGACGTTCCATTGCACCACATTGCGAAATCTGAGGGTTACTCTGAGCATGTGCAGAGTGTCTTGGACGTTCCATTGCACCACATTGCGAAATCTGAGGGTTACTCTGAACATGTGCAGAGTGTCTTGGACGTTCCATTGCACCACATTGCGAAATCTGAGGGTTACTCTGAGCATGTGCAGAGTGTCTTGGACGTTCCATTGCACCACATTGCGAAATCTGAGGGTTACTCTGAGCATGTGCAGAGTGTCTTGGACGTTCCATTGCACCACAATGCGAAATCTGAGGGTTACTCTGAACATGTGCAGAGTGTCTTGGACGTTCCATTGCACCACATTGCAAAATCTGAGGGTTACTCTGAACATGTGCAGAGTGTCTTGGACGTTCCATTGCACCACATTGCACTACATTGGAGTATCAGTGGGTGACTGAGCATGTGCAGAATGCCATGGGCATTCCATTGTATCACATTAGGGAATCAGAGGGCAACTGAGCATGTGCAAAGTGCCTTGGGCATTCCGCTGCACCACATTGGGGAATCAGAGGGTGACTCTGAGCATATGCAGGGTGCTTTGGGCATTCCATTGCACACAGTGCACCATATTGAGGAATCCAAGGGTTACTCTGAGCATGCGCAGAGTACCTTAGGCATTCCATTGCACCACATTGGGGAATCAGAGGGTGACTGGGCATTCACAAAGTGCCTTGGGCATTCTATGGCACCACATTGGGGAATCCGAGGGTGACTCTGAGCACGTGCAGAGTGTCTTGGACATTCCATTGCACTACATTGGGAAATCTGAGGGTTACTTTGAGCATGTGCAGAATGCCTTGGGTGTTCCATTGTACCACACTGGGGAATCAGAGGGTGACTCTGAGCATGCACAGAGTGCCTTGGATGTTCCATTGAGAGTGACTCTGAGCATATGCAGAGTGCTTTGGGCATTCCATTGCACCACATTGCACCACACTGAGAAATCTGCTGGTTACTCTGAGCACATGCAGAGTGCCTTGGGCGTTCCATTGCACCACATTGGGGAATCAGAGGGCGACTCTGAATATGTGCGGAGTGCCTTGCGCATTCCATTGCATCACATTGCACCACAATGGGGAATCAGAGACTGACTCTGAGCATGTGCAGAGTGCCTGAGGCATCCCGTCACACCGTATTGCATTCATGCTTACTCCCGAGATGCTTACCACCTCTTCCTTTCTGATATAACTATGGGTGCATCCGCATTGTAGACTTAATGCGCTTTTGCACCACTTTGGAATAATGGGAGTTGTAGTATTACAAAGCCGTCACTGACAAAGAACGTGAATGCTTCCCTAAACAATACTGTAATTTGACCCCACTTGATACTGCTACAGCTCAATGCTATGAAATCTTGGAAGGTATAGTTTGGCAAAGAAAGTGAAAGACCACGTAAAACTACAAGATGGGAGTTGTAGTCCGAGATCACAGATTATTGCCTTGTATTTTCTTTTCAGGAAGAGGGCCATGATTGTGAACAACGGCTTGGCCTTCCTCGGCGGGGGCTTCATGGGTCTGGCGCAGCTCGGCAAATCCTATGAGATGATGATCATCGGGCGGTTCCTGATCGGAGCTTTTTCTGGTAAGGGAAGGGTCTCCAAAGTTGGGAATTGAGGGAGGAAAAGTGGGTACCCCAAGAAAAATTGGGATGCCACAAGAAAGCCATAAAACAAAAACCAGGGTACGCTGGGCAGTAGAGATCCAAGTCTTGAGCATGGAAGGTCATCCTGAAGAATAGGATCACAGGGTTATGGTTTGGTGTGGTAGGAAGTGAGGAACCCAAGCCATGGGTTCAAATTTGGCCTCTTTAAATCCAGATCATCCCCAATAGCAGTTCCATTTCCCCTTCGTTTTGTGGGTTCCTAATTTTGGGGATAGTGGAATGCAAATTGCATCTATATTGTAGAATCAGTGCAGTTTGGTATTTAGAAGACCTTGTAAAACTACAACTCCAAGGATCCCATAGCCTTGAAGCATGACAGTATATAGATGATGTATTGTTGAAGCCTTTCATGGCCGGAATCACTGGGTTGTTGTAGGTTTTTTCGGGCTATATGGCCATGTTCTAGAGGCATTCTCTCCTGACGTTTCGCTTGCATCTATGGCAAGCATCCTCAGAGGTAGTGAGGTCTGTTGGAACTAGGAAAATGGGTTTATATATCTGTGGAATGACCAGGGTGGGACAAAGGACTCTTGTCTGCTGGAGCTAGGTGTGAATTTTTCAACTGGCCACCTTGATTAGCATTTGATTGCCTGACAGTGCCTGGAGCAATCTTTTGTTGAGAGGTGATTAGATGTTCTTGTTTGTTTCCTCTCTGTCGTTGTGCTGTACCAGTATTAAAAACTCTAAAATTCTTCTTCTTCTTCTTCCTCTTCTTCTCCTTCTTCTTCGTCCTCCTCCTCTTCTTCTCTCTTCTTCTTCTTCTTCTTCTTCTTCTTCCTCCTCCTCCTCTTCTTCTCTTCTTCTTCTCCTCTCTTCTCTTCTTCTTCTTCCTCTTCTTCCTCTTCTTCTCCTCCTCCTCCTCCTTTCTTCTCCTCCTCCTCTTCTTCTCTTCCTCTTCTTCTTCTTCCTCTTCTTCTTCTTCTTCTCTCTTCTTCTTCCTTCTCTCTTCCTTCTCTTCTCTTCTCTCTTCTTCTTCCTCTCTTCCTCTTCCTCTTCCTCTTCCTCTCCTCTTCTCCTCCTCCTCCTCCTCTTCTCCTTCTTCTCCTTCTTCTTCTCTTCTTCTTCTTCTTCTTCCTCCTCTTCTTCTTCTTCTCTTCTCTCTCCTTTCCTCCTCCTCTTCTTCTTCTTCTTCCTCTTCTTCTCTTCTTCTCCTTCCTCTTCTTCTTCTTCTTCTCCTCTTCTTCTTCTTCTTCTCCTTCTCCTCTTCCTCCTCCTCCTCTTCTTCTTCTTCTTCCTCTTCTTCCTTTCTTCTTCTTCTTCCTCTTCTCCTTCCTTCTCTTCTCTTCCTCCTCTTCTTCTCCTTCTTCTTCTTCTTCCTCTTCTCCTTCTCCTTCTTCTTCTTCCTCCTCCTCCTCCTCTTCTTCTCCCTCTTCCTCTTCCTCCTCCTCCTCCTCCTCTTCTTCTCCTTCTCCTCCTTCTTCCTCCTCCTCCTCCTCCTCGTCTTCTTCTTCCCCTTCTTCTTCCTCTTCTTCTCCTTTTTCTTCCTCTCCTTCCTCTTCCTCTTCCTCTCCTTCTCCTTCTTCTTCTTTCTCCTCCTCTTCTTCTCTTCTTCCCCTCCTCCTCCTCTCTCCTCCTCCTCCTCCTCTTCTTCTTTCTCCTCTTCTTCCCCTCCTCCTCCTCCTCTTCTCTCCTCTTTTCCTTTCTCCTCCTCCTCCTCCTCCTCCTTTTTTTCTTCTCCTCCTCCTCCTCCTCCTCTGCTCCCAGTTTGATGGGAGGCTTTGTCTCCTCCTCCTTCCTGGACTCTTCCTTGTGACTTTTATCTTTAGTGTTTTGACCAGGTGGCTAACCTGAGACGCCTGCAATAAAACCATAAATTAATGTGATCAAAGTGTTCTGTTTGCAAAGCTTTGGGAATTCAGTTCCTGGAGACACTTTGGAGGAAATGGGGGAAACCAGACCAGGGAGGTTTAATTGGATTTTTCAGAACAGCTCTGTTTTTACAACAGAACAGGATGATTAATAACTTGATTACGAGATTCATGACTGAGAGATGTGACTTGCCAAGATCTGTGTCATCACACTGGCTGGGGGAAAGGGGCACGGACGTTGGGCATTGCAGTCCGTAAAAGGGATGGTAACACGGTTTCTGTGTTACCACGCTGGCTGGGGGATGCTGGGCACTGCAGTTCATAAAAGGGAACTTGCTAAGGCCTGTGTCAATAATGGGCATTGTAATCCATGAAAGGTCTTTGTGTCTGGGGATGCTCGACATTGCAGTCCATCAAAGGCACCTTGCTAAGGTCTGTGTCAATACACTAGTTGGGGATAATGGGCATTGCAATCCATGAAAGGTCTTGCACCAGTGACTGGGGATGCAGGGCATTGCAGTCCATAAAAAGGGACCTAGCTAAGGTGTGTGTCAATACACTAGTTAGGGAATAATGGAAATTGTAATCCATGAAAGGTCTTTGTGTCTGTGTCTGGGGATGCTGGGTCTTGCAGTTCATAAAAAGAGACCTTGCTAAGGTGGTTGTCAATACAGTAGTTGGGGGATAATATTCATGAAAACTCTCAGTGGCTGGGAATACTGGGCATTGCAGTCCATAAAAGGGACCTTGCCAAGGTCTGTGTCAATACGTCAGTTGGGGGATAATGGGCATTGTAATCCATGAAAGGTCTTGCACCAGTAGTTGGAGATGCTGGGCATTTCAGTCCACAAAAGGTACCTTGCTAAGGTGTGTGTCAAAACACTACTTGGGAGATAATGGGCATTGTATTCCATGAAAGGTCTTGTGCCAGTGGCTGAGGATGCTGAGCATTTCAGTCCATAAAAGGGACCTTGCTAAGGTGTGTGTCAAAACACTAGTTGGGGAAAATGGGCATTGTAATCCATGAAAGGTCTTTGTGCCTGTGCCAGGGGATGCTGGGCATTTCAATTTATAAAAAGGGATCTTGCTAAGGTGTGTGTCAACACTAGTTGGGGAATAATGGGCATTGCAATCCATGAAAGATATTGCACCAATGGCTGGAGATGCTGGGCATTGTAGTCCATAAAAGGGACCTTGCCAAGGTGTGTGTCAATACACTAAGTGGGGGATAATGGGCATTGCAATCCATGAAAACTCTTTCTGTCTGTGTCTAGGGATGCTGGACATTGCAGTCAATAAAATAGACCTTGCTAAGGTGTATGTCAATACACTAGTAGGGGGATAATGGGCATTGCAATCCATGAAAGGTCTTTGTGCCTGTGCCAGGGGGTGCTGGACATTTCAGTTCCTAAAAAGGGATCTTGCTAAGGTGTGTGTCAATACACTAATTGGGGGATAATGGGCATTGCAATCCATGAAAGGTCTTGCACCAGTAGCTAGGCATTGTAGTCTATAAATGGGACCTTGCTAAGGTGTGTGTCAGTACACTAGGTGGGGGATAATGGGCATTGCAATCCATGAAGGGTCTTTATGCCTGTGTATGGAGATGCTGGGCATTGCAGTCCACAGAAGGGACTTTACTGTGGATCACCCTGCTGGCTGAGATTCAGTTGGAGAACGATAGAACAGAGAAGCTCAATTGCAGAACGCAGCCATCTTTTTTCTTATTATTCCTCTTTTCCCTCCTTCCCTTCTTCCTGGCATGCGTTTAATTTTAATTTTCTCCTCTTTTCATGGCAGGTTTTGCCTCCGGATTGGTGCCCATGTACGTGGGGGAGATCGCTCCCACCAACCTGCGGGGGGCGCTAGGCACATTGAATCAGCTGGCCATCGTCATTGGCATCCTCGTCGCTCAGGTCAGGACGCTGGGTGTTGCAGTCCCCAATTTAATTCAATGGGAAATGGATTCTGGGAACAAAAGGAATTTCCTTCAACTCCCTGTATGTGGCCATTATGGGTGGGGATTCTGGGCATTGCAGTCCATAAAAGGGGCCCTGCCACAGTCGGATTGGGGGGATGCTGGGTATTACAGTCCATAAAAAGATGCTGCCATGGTCTGCGTGTCACCCAAATGGTTGGAGAATGCTGGGTGTTGGAGTACTCCAATTGACTGCTTTGGTCTGTGTGTATTTGTCTAGGGGATGATGGTTGTGTGTGGCCATGATGACTGGGGATAATTGGCATTGCAGTCCATAAAAAGGGCCCTGCCACAGTCGGACTGGGGGGATGCTGGGTGTTACAATCCATAAAAAGATGCTGCCATGGTCTGCATGTCACCCAATTAGATGGGGAATGCTGGGTGTTGTAGTACTCCAATTGACTGCTTCAGTCTGTGTGTATTTGTCTAGGATGATGGTAATGTATGGCCATGATGACTGGGGATTCTGGGCATTGCAACCCATAAAAAGGGACCCTGCCAAAGTCTGGCTGGGGGGATTCTGGGTATTACAATCCATAAAAAGGATGCTGCCATGGTCTGCATGTCACCCAATTGGATGGGGAATGTTGGGTGTTGTAGTACTCCAATTGACTGCTTCAGTCTGTGTGTATTTTTCTAGGGGGTGATGGTAGTGTGTGGCCATGATGACTGGGGATTCTGGGCATTGCAATTCATAAAAAGGGACCCTGCCAAGGTCTGGCTGGGGGGATGCAGGATGTTACAATCCATAAAAAGGACGCTGCCTTGGTCTGCATGTCACCCAATTGGATGGGGAATGCTGGGTGTTGTAGTACTCCAACTGACTGCTTCAATCTGTGTGTATTTGTCTAGGGGGTGATGGTCGTGTGTGGCCATGATGACTGGGGATTCTGGGCATTGCAATGGACGGGTCCCCTTCATGTCCCCCCTTTCTCCTTCCGCAGGTCTTTGGGCTGGAGAGCCTGTTGGGGACCCCCACCTTGTGGCCCCTCCTGATGGGCCTGAGCGTGGTCCCTTCCGCCCTCCAGCTCCTGCTCTTCCCTTTCTGCCCAGAGAGCCCTCGCTACCTCTACATCATCCGCAACAAGGAGTCCAAGGCCAAAGAGAGTGAGCCCTCCTTCCGCCTTGCTTCCATCCCTCTGCCTCGTTCCTCCTCTCCGTTCTTCTCTCATCCGTTCTTCCAATCTATTGCTTAGCTCAGGTTTATCCGCTCCGGGTTTTAGTCTGAACTTCCAAGGAAAACACTTCTGGGTGCCCCCTTTTGGGGGAATTATGCTACCACACTATAGGTCAGTGCTTCTCAACCTTTGTCCTTAGACACCTCCAAGGTCATGTGTCCAGCATGACTGTGAATTAGACAAATTAGATTTCTCAGTTGTTAGATTGATATACCTGGTTATCTCTCTGAACTGTTCGGATCAAAGATATGCCAGGGTAAAGGTAATTAAGTCTAGTATGATCTTCCTGAGAAGAGTTCAATACTCTTCTCCTTAGTGGTAAAAAATATCCACTAGTATTCAAGCAAGGCAAATTAGGTTTCTCAGTTGTTAGACTGATATACCTAGTTATCTCTCTGAACTGTTAGGAACAAAGATATGCCAGGGTAAAGCTAAAGGTTTCTCCTGGCATTTAGTATAGTATGATCTTCCTGAGAAGAGTTAAATACTCTTCTCCTTAGTGGTAAAAAATATCCACTAGTATTTAAGCAATGCAAATTAGGTTTCTTAGTTGTTAGACTGATATACCTGGTTATCTGTCTGAACTGTTAAGAACAAAGATATGCCAGGATAAAGGTAAAGGTTTCTCCGGGCATTTAGTCTAGTATGATCTTCTTGAGAAGAGTTAAATACTCTTCTCCTTAGTGGTAAAAAAATATCCACTAGTACTCAAGCAAGGTAAATTAGGTTTCTCAGTTGTTAGACTGATATACCCGGTTATCTCTCTGAACTGTTCAGATCAAAGATATGCCAGGTAAAGGTTTTATCTGGCATTTAGTCTAGTATGATCTTCCTGAGAAGAGTTAAATGCTCTTTTCCTTAGTGGTAAAAATATCCACTAGTATTCAAGCAATGCAAATTAGGTGTCTCAGTTGTTAGACTGATAATCCTGGTTATCTTTCTGAACTGTTAGGAACAAAGATATGCCAGGGTAAAGGCAAAGGTTTCCCCTGACATTTAGTCTAGTATGATCTTCCTGAGAAGAGTTAAATACTCTTCTCCTTAGGGGTAAAAAAATATCCACTAGTATTTAAGCGATGCAAATTAGATTTCTCAGTTGTTAGACTGATATACCTAGTTATCTCTCTGAACTGTTCGGATCAAAGTTATGGCAGGTTAAAGGTAAAGGTTTTTCCCTGGCATTAAGTCTAGTATGATCTTCCTGAGAAGAGTTAAATACTCTTCTCCTTAGTGGCAAAAAACACCCACTAGTATTTAAGCAATGCAAATTAGGTTTCTCAGTTGTTAGACTGATATACCTAGTTAGTTTGAAACTGCTAGCTATCTCTAGTTATCTCTCTGAACTGTTAGGATCAAAGTTATGCCAGGTTAAAGGTAAAGGTTTCCCCCTGACATTAAGTCCAGTCGTGTCCGACTCTGGGGGTTGGTGCTCATCTCCATTTCTAAACCAAAGAGCCGGCGTTGTCCATAGACACCTCCAAGGTCATGTGGCCAGCATGACTGCATGGAGTGCCATTACCTTCACTCCGAGAAGTACCTATTGATCTACTCACATTTGCATGTTTTGAAACTGCTAGGTTGGCAGAAGCTGGGGCTAACAGCGGGAGCTCACCCCACTCCCTGGATTCAAACCTGCAAACTTTCAGATAGCAAGTTCAGCAGCTCAGCGGTTTAACCCGCTGCGTCATAACCTCTGGCTATGGTATGAGTAATGCATAGGATTGCAGTAGGACACATATATCCATATCCATGTGGAGCATTTGAAGGACCCAGAGGGTGATTCTCACCAAATGCTTCCTCTTCATCCTGGAAAGAAGTGACGAGCGGAGTGCCACAAGCAGGGTTCCCCCCTGGGCCCGGTCCTGTTCAACTTCTTTATTAATGACTTAGATGAAGGGTCAGAAGGCAGGATCATCAAGTTTGCAGACGACACCAAATTGGGAGGGAGAGCCAATACTCCAGAGGACAGGAGCAGGACTCAAAGGGATCTTGACAGATTAGAGAGATGATTGGCCAAAACTAACAAATGAAGTTCAACAGGGACAAATGCAAGATACTCCACTTAGGCAGGAAAAACGAAATGCAAAGATACAGAATGGCTCGAGAGCAGTACGTGTGAAAAAGATCTTGGAGTCCTTGTGGACAACAAGTTAAACATGAGCCAACAATGTGATGTGGCGGCAAAAAAAGCCAATGGGATTTTGGCCTGCATCAAGAGGAGCATAGTGTCTAGATCTAGGGAAGTCATGCTCCCCATGCTCTATTCTGCTTTGGTTAGACCACACCTGGAATATTGTGTCCAATTCTGGGCACCACAATTCAAGAGAGATATTGACAAGCTGGAATGTGTCCAGAGGAGGGCGACTAAAATGATCAAGGGTCTGGAGAACAAGCCCGATGAGGAGCGGCTTAGGGAACTGGGCATGTTTAGCCTGAAGAAGAGAAGGCTGAGAGGGGATATGATAGCTATGTATAAATATGTGAGAGGAAGCCACAGGGAGGAGGAGGGAGCAAGCTTGTTTTCTGCTTCCTTGGAGACTAGGACGCGGAACAATGGCTTCAAACTACAAGAGAGGAGATTCCATCTGAACATGAGGAAGAACTTCCTGACTGTGAGAGCCGTTCAGCAGTGGAACTCTCTGCCCCGGAGTGTGGTGGAGGCTCCTTCTTTGGAAGCTTTTAAACAGAGGCTGGATGGCCATCTGTCAAGGGTGATTTGAATGCAATATTCCTGCTTCTTGGCAGAATGGGGTTGGACTGGATGGCCCATGAGGTCTCTTCCAACTCTTTGATTCTATGATTCTATGATTCTATGACCTGTATCTCTAATTTAACGGCCTTGGCAAAATGCTATGCAATCCTGGTATTTGTAGTTTGGAGAGCCATTAAGCTCAAATGAATACAGGTCACTCCTCTCTGGTCCTTCTCTGCTTCTCCTTCAGGTCTCAGGCGCCTGACGGGGCGCACCGATGTGACGGCCTCCCTAAATGAGATGAAGGAAGAGAAGCGGCGCATGGACCTGGAGCGCAAGGTCTCCATCTTGGAGCTCTTCCGGTCCCGCCTCTACCGCCAGCCGCTCCTCATTGCCGTGGTCTTGCAGTTGTCCCAGCAGTTGTCCGGCATCAATGCGGTGAGAGTCTGAGAAGGACAAGTAGTATAGCAGGGAACGGGGGAGCATTTGGGGTATCACTAGCTGTCCCCTGCCATGCATTGCTGTGGCCCAGTCTGTGTATATATGTTTTGTGTGTATATATATTTGTGTACGTCTATATAAATAAAAATGTGATGTTCGTTTGTGGGATTAACAGAATTCAAAAACGACCAGACGAATTGACACCAAATTTGGACACAAGACACCTAACAACCCAATGTATGTCCTTCACTCAAAAAATTGATTTTGTCATTTGGGAGTTGTAGTTGCTGGGATTTATAGTTCACCTACAATCAAAGAGCATTCTGAACCCCACCAATGATGGAATTGAACCAAACTTGGCACACAGTTCTCCCATGACAACAGAAAATACTGGAAGGGTTTGGTGGGCAGTGTCCTTTGGTTTTGGAGTTGTAGTTCACCTACATCCAGAGAGCACTGTGGACTCAAACAATGATGGATCTGGACCAAACTCTACACGAATACTCAATATGCCCAAATGTGAACACTGGTGGAGTTTGGGGAGAATAGACCTTGACATTTGGGAGTTGTAGTTGCTGGGATTTATAGTTCACCTACAATCACAGAGTATTGTGAACCCCACCAACGATAGAATTAGTCCAAATCTCCCACACAGAACCCCCATGTGGGCCACAGCAATGTGTGGCAGGGGACAGCTAGTGTGTATATATATATGTGGGTTTGCATATATGTGTGTGTGGTTTTGTGCATGCGTTGTAATGTATTTTTTTGGTTTTTTTATTTTTAAGTCTCTTCTGCTGTGTTTTTCAGTGTTCTTATGAGTGATGGTCACTCGTTGGCCTGAGAGGTGTCTTGTGACCAAATTTGGTGTCCATTCGTCCAGTAGTTTTTGAGTTATGTTAATCCCACAAATGAGCATTACACTTTTATTTATATAGACTAGCCGTCTCCTGCCACACGTTGCTGTGGCCCACATGGGGGTTCTGTGTGGGAAGTTTGGCCCATTTCTATCGTTGCTGGGGTTCAGAATGCTCTGTGATTGTAGGTGAACTATAAATCCCAGAAACTGCAACTCCCAAATGTCAAGGTTCTATTTTCCACAAACTCCACCAGTTCACATTTGGGAATATTGAGTATTTGTGTAGAGTTTGGTCCAGATCCATCCTTGTTTGAGTCCACAGTGATCTCTGGATGTAGGTGAACTACAACTCCAAAACCAAAGGACACTGCCCACCAAACCCTTCCAGTATTTTCTGTTGTTCATGGGAGAACTGTGTGCCAAGTTTGGTTCAATTCCATCATTGGTGGGGTTCAGAATGCTTTGTGATTGTAGGTGAACTATAAATCCTAGCACTACAACTCCCAAATGTCAAGGTTCTATTTTCCCCAAACTCCAACAGTGTTCACATTTGGGCATATTGAGTAATCGTGTAGAGTTTGGTCCAGATCCATCATTGTTTGAGTGCACAGTGATCTCTGGATGTAGGTGAACTACAACTCCAAAACCCAAGGTCAATGCCCACCAAATCCTTCTAGTGTTTTCTGTCGGTCAGGGGAGTCCTGTGTGCCAAGTTTGGTTCAATTCCATCATTAGTGGAGTTCATAATGCTCTTTGATTGTAGGTGAACTATAAATCCCAGCATCTACAACTCCAAAATGACAAAATCATAATTTTTTGAGTGATGGTCACTCCTTGTGTGGTGAGATTGTTAGAGACCCTAAATTGGGTCTTCTTAGGTCCATATCACGGGAATACGTAAGGAAGGAGACAGTCCCAAAAAAGATCAAAAAACAAGGTTTATTTTAGTTATTTCATGAAGAAGACGGACAGCCTGGCAGCATACGCAGATGCTACCCTTCAAGTGACTGCCGCGCCCCTCCTCTTTTTCTGCTGACTTTTATACTCAAGTAATAGATCATGCAAAGTACTCTCTTTCCAGCCCCTCTCCCTTGACCCTTTGATGGAAAGTACATTCTTGTACCTGCAGACTCTGCGCTTAACCACAACCTTTGAACTTAACCACAACACAACTTCCGACCTCTTTCCTGTTGCTCCTTTTCTACAGAGAAAGGGTATATCTCTCTTTTGCTGTAAATTTCATTCAAAGCCCCTTGCTTAGCATTTGCAGATTTCACTCAAAGACCCTTCCAAGATGTTTTGTTGCCAAATTTGGTGTGATTTCAGTCATTCTTTTGTTTTTAAGGTACTCATTATGACCAGAGCATTTATAGATAGATAGATAGATAGATAGATAGATAGATAGATAGATAGATAGATAGATAGATAGATAGAAGATAAAGACTTCTGGCTGTGTACAGTTTGGTGTTTTTGGCAAGGTGAACCTATTCCGAGGTGCGGCAATCCTGTTTTGTCAATTTATTTCACCTTTATAGATATTCTATTACTCAACGGACATCTTCACCAAGGCCGGACTGGAGCAGCCCATCTATGCCACCATTGGAGCTGGAGTGGTCAACACCGTCTTCACGGTCATTTCGGTAAAGGTCTCCAATTGCATCAAGGACTGCAATGCTAAAGCAAGGTTTTCCTGGGGAAATGTGATCAGAGAGGGTTTGGCTTTGTCTTCCTCTGAGGCTGAGAGAGTGTGACTTCTTGGGTATTCCTTCAACCTGAAGCAGAGTTTCCAAACAGTGTCTATAGCAGYCWTGGGCCAACTTGGGCCTTCCTCCAAGTGCTTTGGACTCCAACTCCCACCATTCCTAACAGCCTCAGGRSCTTTCCTTTTTCCCCCTCAGCCGCTTAAGCTGAGCCATATCYCATATCATCCACCCATATCGCAGGATATTGACTCACTCGTCAAATGCCAYTTTCCAGAGCCAAGTTTTCACCTGTTTTCTGAACATCAAGATAGAAGGGGCAGTTCTGATCTCCAGTGGAAGGGAGTTCCAGAGCCGAGGGGCCACCACGGAGAAGGCCCTGTCCATCGTCCCCACCAGACGCTTAAGCGGCTGAGGGGGAAAAGGAAGGGGCCTGAGGCTGTTAGGAATGGTGGGAGTTGGAGTCCAAAGCACCTGGAGGAAGGCCCAAATTGGCCCATGCCTAGTCTATAGTATGTAAGCAATGCTTACAATAAACAGCCAATGTAAGAGCTTCTTTCCACAGGAAGGCTTTATCTTTTGTTGCAGCTATTTACAGTATACACTTATTCTGTTCTTATGTACACTTGCATGATGTCATGTTCCAATCATGCATTCATTATTGTGTACACCTGATGCAAACCTAACTTCAGGGTTACATTCTCCCTTAATCTCTGTCACTGTGACTCAGCACTTGCAACACTTAAAGTAACCCATCTTCAAACTAGGTTACAATATTTTAACACTCCAGCATGACTTTGCCCAAGTTCAACCAGTGGATTTCCATGGCTGAGCGGGGATTCAAACCCAATGTCTCCAGAGGCTCATCATGGATCCTCCGGGGAGGCCCTGCACTCCGTCCCGCCACTGTCACAGGCGTGATTGGTGGGGATGAGAGACAGGGCCTTCTCGGTGATGGCCCCCCTGGCTATGGAACTCCCTTCCTGGTGAGATCAAGTCGGCCCCCTCCCTCCTGTCCTTCAGAAAGGAAAGGGCCTGAGGCTGTTAGGAATGATGGGAGTTGAAGTCCAACACACCTGGAGGGCCAAAGTTTGCCCAGGCTTGGTGTAGACACACCTGTACAAATTAGCAAGGAAGGATGGACTTCAGCTTGTTCCCTGGCCACAAATTTTATTTATTTATTTAGCAGTTTTGTATACCGGTCTTCTCACCTCCATCGAGAGACTCAGGCTGGTTTCCAACAACAATATTACAAACAATCATTAAAAACATCGTATTCCAAATTACACTAAAACATTAAAATAACAAAATACAGTCATATAGTTACAATGGTCAGTCGTCACCATAAAATCATTGTTCGTCATCGTCCACCCATATCGCAGGATATTGACTCACTCGTCAAATGCCAGTTTCCAGAGCCAAGTTTTCACCTGTTTTCTGAACATCAAGATAGAAGGGGCAGTTCTGATCTCCAGTGGAAGGGAGTTCCAGAGCTGAGGGGCCACCACGGAGAAGGCCCTGTCCATCGTCCCCACCAGACGCACTTGTGAGGCTGGTGGGACCGAGAGCAGGGCCCCTCCGGACGATCTTAGCAATCTTGATGGTTCATAGGGGAGAATACGTTTGGACAGGTAAACTGGGCCGGAGTCGTTTAGGGCTTTATAGGTCAAGACCAGCACTTTGAATTGTGCTCAGAAGCTAATTGGCAGCCAGTGGAGCTGGCGCAACAGAGGAGTAGTATGCTCCCTGTACCCCGCTCTTGTTAGTAGTCTGGCTGCCGCACGTTGGACTAGTTGGAGTTTCCGGGCAGTCTTCAGAGGCAACCCCACGTAGAGAGCGTTGCAGTAGTTTATACGGGATGTAACCAGAGCATGGACCACCATGGCCAAGACAGACTTCCCAAGTTACGGGCGCAGCTGGCGCACAAGTTTTAATTGTGCAAAAGCTCCCCTGACCACCACCGAGACCTGGGGCTCCTACATCCAGAGAGCACTGTGGATGCTCTTCCCCTATTTCCTCAAATCTAATGCTCACCTTGCCAAAATTAGAGTGCGCTTTAGATTTGTGTCATATAGTCACATTAGTCCTGTCGAAGCAAAAGGTAGTAAAGGTAAAGGTTTTACCCTGATATTAAGTCGAGTCATGTCCAACTCTGAGGGTTGGTGCTCATCTCCATTTGTAAGTCAAAGAGCTGGCGTTGTCACAGGCATGATTGGTGGGGATGAGAGACAGGGCCTTCTCGGTGATTGCTCCCCTGGCTATGGAACTTCCTTCCTGGTGAGATCAGGTCGGTCCCCTCCCTCCTGCCCTTCAGAAGGATGGTCAAAACTTGGCTGTGGGACCAAGCTTTTGAGACAGGGCAATAAAGCGACAATAGGAAAGATGACCAGGGTAATTAGATTTGATGCAGATGACCAAGACGGTTTTAAATGGTGTATTTTAATATTGAGATAAATGCTTTTAATGTTTATGTATGCGTATATGAATTTTTGTCCCGGCATTGAATGTTTGCCGTATATATGCTGAGCCCCCTTCGGGGTGTTTCAAATAATAATAATAATAATAATAATAATAATAATAATAATAATAATAATAGATCGAACTGCAAAGACTTTGGCACAAGCCAGTAAAGGTGGTCCCAGTGGTGTTCGGCACACTGGGTGCAGTGCCTAAAGGCCTTGGCCTGCACTTAAACACAATTGGCGCTGACAACATTACCATCTGCCAGCTGCAAAAGTTCACACTACTGGGATCTGCACGCATTATTCGCCAATACATCACACAGTCCTAGACACTTGGGAAGTGTCCGATGTGGATCCAATTCAACAGCCAGCAGAGTGATCTTGTTTGCTGTGGACTCATCTTATTGTGTTTCAAATAATAATAATAATAATAATAATAATAATAATAATAATAATAATAATGATGATGTATAACTCATTCTCTCTCCCTGAAGGGACCCATGGGAGTAAAAGGGGTGCCAAAGTGGATTGATTCTTTAATGTGGATGCATCCCAGTTCAGAGACAGTTTGGCAGTCTTTGTTTTAGTTCAGCATTTCTCAACTTATTTTATTTACATTATTTATTTATTTGCATTATTTCTATCCCTCCCATATCAGCCCGAAGGCGACTTGGGGGTTGGGACTCCTGGGAGGTCATGAGGGGGTGTCAGAGGGGTTGCCAAAGAACATCAGAAGACACCATATTTTCTGGGGGTTCTGTGTAGTAAGTTTGGCCCAATTCTATCATTGGTGGGGTTCAAAACTCAAGGTCAATGCACACCAAACACTTTCAGTATTTTCTATTGGTCATTGGAGTTCTGTGTGCCAAGTTTGATTCAATTTCATCGTTGGTGGAGTTCAGAATGCTCTTTGATTGAAGGTGAACTATAAATCCCAAGAACTACACCTACCTAATGTCAAGGTATATTTTCCCCAAACTCCACCAGTGTTCACATTGGGGCATATTGAGTATTCGTGCTAAGTTTGTTCCAGATCCAACACTGTTTGAGTCCACAGTACTCTCTGGATGTAGGTGAACTACAGCTCCAAAACTCAAGGTCAATGCCCACCAAACCCTTCCAATGTTTTCTGTTAGTCATGGGGGTTCTGTGTGACAAGTCTTATCCAATTTTATCATTGGTGACGTTCAGAATGCTCTTTGAGTGCAGGTGAACTATAAATCCCAAACTCAAGGTCAATGCCCACCAAATCCTTTCAATATTTTCTATTAGTCATGGGAGTTCTGTGTACCAAGTTTGATTCAATTCCATCGTTGGTGGGGTTCAGAATGTTCTTTGATTGTAGGTGAACTATAAATCCAAACTACAACTCCCAAATGACAAAATCAGTCCCCCCACAGTGAATGAAAATACATCCTGCATATTGGATATTTATATGACGCTGTAGCAAAATTACAGTTATGAAGTAGCAATGAAAATAGTGTTATGGTTGGGGGTCACCACAATATGGGGAACTGGATTGAGGGGTCGTGGCATTACGAAGGTTGGGAACCACCGCTTGAGTGTCTTGCTGCATTCCTCCTTTATGACTCTCATGTTTCCTCTTCGACAGGTGTTCATGGTGGAGTGGGCAGGGCGGCGGACCTTGCACCTGCTGGGCCTCTTTGGCATGAGCATATGCGCCATCCTCATGATGATCTCTCTCCTCTTACTGGTAAGCATGGGGCAAAGATCACTTTGGGACCCCCAAGGACCATCCAGTCCAACCTCCTTCTGACAAGTCCACCTTGTGTCCAGATGACACTCCAAAATCACCTCCTAATTTGCAAAGTTGGAGCCTCCATTGCTGTCTCTTTCCCTCCGGCAACAGGAGAGTGTGCCCTCGATCGGCTATCTCAGCATGGTGGCCATCTTTGGCTTCGTGGCCTTCTTTGAGATCGGGCCGGGCCCCATCCCCTGGTTCATCGTGTCCGAGCTCTTCAGTCAAGGCCCGCGTCCGGCGGCTGTGGCCGTGGCCGGCTTCGCCAACTGGACCTGCAACTTCATCATCGGCATGAGCTTCCCCTCCATTGCGGTGAGTTTTCGGTTGCATCCACATTGCAGGAGGAATGCAGTTTGACAACACTTGAACCACCATGGTTCAATGCTATCGAACCCTGTGAGGCAGGCATGGACAAACGTTGGCCCTCCAGGCGTTTTGGATTTCAACTCCCACAATTCCTAACAGCCCGTGTATTTTTCTGTCTATCTGTCTGTATGTATGCATGTCCATCCATCCATCTGTCTATCCAGTCATCCATCCGTCAATCCCTCCATTTGCTCCTTACCTATCTGTTTATCCATCCATCTGCCCCTATCGCTACCTATCTACATATCCATTCACCCATCCGTCCATATGTCCATCCATGCATCCCTCTATCCCTCTATCTATATCTATCCCTCTATCTATCTATCTATCTATCTATCTATCTATCTATCTATCTATCTATCTATCTATCCATCCATCCATCCATCCATCCATCTATCCATCTGACCATGTATCTACCTTTCTATCCATTCATTCATCCATCCATTCATCTCTCCCTGTATCTACCTGTCTGTCTGTCTGTCCGGCCAGCCGGCCATCCATGCATGCATTCATTCATCAATCTGCTCCTCTGTCTGTCTGTCTGTCAGTCAGTCCGTCCGTCCATCCATCCATCCATTTGTCCCTTCTATCCATCCATCCATCTATCCATCCACCCCTGTGTCTACCTGTCCATCCATCCATCCATCTGCCCCCGTAAATCTATCCATCCATCCATCCATCTGTCCCCATCAATCCATCTGCCCCCATCCATCCATCCATCCATCTTTCTGTCCCCGTCCATCCATCTGCTCCCATCCATCCATCCATCCATCCATCTACCCATGTATCTACCTATCCATCCATCCATCCATCCATCCATCCATGCATCAAACTACCTATCAATTTATTTATTTATTTATTATTTACTATATTTATACCCCGTCCTTCCCACCCCGAAGGGGACTCAGGGCGGCTTACAAACTAAGGCAAAAATTCCATGCTGCATAGTGCACATAACAATGAACATACCATATAAAGTTATAAAACAATTAAAATAATAATACAAATTAAAAGCCTACAAGTCTCGCATCATGATTTCCAAACTTCATAGTTTTCCCATAGTTGTTATACAGAATCCTAGGTTAGAATGATATAGTAACTAAGGCCCTCCCTCCCTGTCTTACATCTGCCAACACATTGACCCACCCATCCATCTATCTATCTATCTATCTATCTATCTATCTATCTATCTATCTATCTATCCATCCATCCAACCATCCATCCATCCACCTATCTGTCTGCTTGTCCATCTGTCCGTCTGTCTATTTACCCATCCATCTGTCCATCCATCCATCCCTTCTATCCTATCTATCTATCTATCTATCTATCTATCTACTTCTGGATGTATTTGTACCTATATACTGCATTTTCTCGAGCCCAGTGCACCATCGGATCTAATGCGCACCTCAATTTTCAAACCAAACCAAAAGAAAAAAAGTATTTGCTGTCAAATGTATTGCAGAGTGGCTTTGGCCCAAAAATGTGTGCCTTCCAGTGGCTGCCTGCTCACCCCATGGCTGCAAACACCAGTTTCCAGCAACAGAAAGGAAACCCTTGGGGTGCATCTATGCTGCAGAATGAGTCCCCTTTAACTGCCTTGGCTCAGTGTTATGAGATCATATAGTTTGACAAGGTCTTGTTAGCCTTCTCTGCTAAAGGATGCTGATGCCTCACCAAACTACAAATCCCAGCATAGCATAGAGCTGTGGCAATTATATTGAGGGGATGTCCTGAAGCAGCTTCCCCTTTTGCTTTGGCTCAGCACTATGATTACCATATTTGGTGGATCTGAGGCACACCCTAATTTTGGCAAGGTAATTCGCTTTGAGTAAATACGGTACTAAAAGTGTTTGACAAGGAGGAGCATTTACATGGATTTGTCAACCCTTTCACCTCCTGCCTGCCTCAGTTGCACAGAGATTACATCAGCTCTTTCCCAACCCAATCCAGAGCTGTTGCAATACCATTCCCATCTGCCCACTGGGGATACTGGGAGTTCTCTTTAAGCAATGTTGCTTTTTCAGGGGACATGTTTCCCTAAATCCCCTTGGGTGGGGCACACTCTCTCAGCCTCAGAGGAAGGCCATAGCAAGGCGACTCTGACGATGAAAAGTTAAGTGGGAAATGGCTTGCAGGCATGCAACGACATGGCTTTTCCTGGCATGGCTTTGCACTGAGCACAGAACTAAACAAAAGAGCACTCTCGGAATCTGTGCAAAAGAGCAACCTGGGTCAGAGGTCGGTGAGTCACCAGCAGCAGGGCGAGGCTGAGACAGAACAGAGCCTCCAGTCAAGCATGAGTCTGCATTCTGGAAGGGACCGGTTGCATGCAGAGAGATCATACACACGCACACACACACACCTCTATACAGATTTCTCATACACACACTCTCAGTTAACCCATGGCAGTCTTGGAGATAGAAGTGTAACTCCAGCCATAAAAATATATGCATTGGCTAGCATAGGGAAGGGTTAACCCAGGCATGGGCAAACTTGGGCCCTTCTCCAGGTGTTTTGGACTTCAACTCCCAACATTCCTAACAGCTTCATCCCCTCAGATGGATATATGAATGGATAGAAAAGTGGATACAGGGGCAGATGGACGGACGGACGGACGGACGGACAGACAGACAGACAGACAGACAGACAGACAGACAGACAGATAGATAGATAGATAGATAGATAGATAGATACAGGGGCAAATGGATGCATGCATGGATAGACAGATTGGTGGATAGACAGACAGACAGACGGATGGAAAGATAGATACAGGGGCAGATGGATAATTGATAGATATGGATGGAGAGAGATAGGTACAGCGATGGATGGATGGATGGCTGGATGGATAGATAGATAGATAGATAGATAGATAGATAGATAGATAGATAGATAGAGATAGATAGATAGATAGAAGAGGTGATGGATGGATAGACAGATAGATGGTAAAGATGATGGATGGATGGATGGATGGATGGATGGATGGATGGATGGATGGATGGATGGATGGATGGATGGATGGATGATAGGATAGGATAGATGATGGATAGATGAAGGATGGATGGATGGATAGGGGATGGATGGATGCATGCATGGATGACAGATTGGCAGACAGACAGACGGTGGATGGATAGATAGATAGGGACAGATAGATAGATGGATGATAGATAGATAGATAGGGATGATGGATGGATGGATGGATGGATGGATGGACAGGTAAATACAGGAGCAGATGGATGAATAAATAGACAAACAGACAAATAGATACAGGGGCAGATGGATGCATGCATGGATAGACAGATTGGCGGATGGACAGACGGACGGATGGACAGATGGAGGGACGGATGGATGGATGGATAGATGGATAGATACAGGGTCGGATGGATGGATGGATGGACAGATGGAGGGACAGATGGATGGATGGAGAGATAGGTAGATGCAGCGGCAGATGGATGGATGGATGGATGGATGGATGGACAGGTAGATATAGGGGCAGATGGATGAATAAATAGATAGATACAGGGGCAGATGGATGCATGCATGGATAGACAGATTGGTGGATGGACGGACAGACAGATGTAGAGACGGATGGATGGATGGATAGATGGATAGATGGAGAGATAGGTAGATGCAGCAGCAGATAGATGGATGGATGAATGATTGGATAGATAGATGGACGAACGGACGGATGGACAGACAGACATACAGACAGGGACACATCTATACACACACATATATTAGAGTGATTACCCAACAGGAAGAGGTAACCATTAGATGCGGACACTGAATTAACAAACATAATTAAAACAACCTTTAAAACCATCATAAACATTCAAAGATTTAAAATTCTAAAATATCGCCAGTTTAAAATTGCGATCGACTTTGCAGCTGCAAGGCTACTCAATGCTGTTCGAGCAGGTGAATTGCAACATTCACTCTTGCTTCAAAGAGACACGGGCTCTTTCCTCCCACCCTGGGCATTATTCCACAGGGATAGATACACTCCACTTGCCTCATTTCCAACAGAGCTCTGAACAAACCTCTAAAGATGTGTGCCCACAGGTGAAGGTGAAATGTCATGAGAGAATGCTACTGGATCGTGGCCATACAACCCAAAAAACACCCAGCAACCAAGTGATTCCGGCCATGAATTTTCGAAAACCCAATCTAGTTGGATGTTTGTAACTTGTGGTTGGCCTGTATAGATGCGCTCCAAGTGACCAGAAGAATATAAACAAAGACTGTGTCTTTAGTGCTGCCCGCCACCATGATCTCCTTCCTCTGTTTGCAGGACGCCTGCGGCCCGTACGTCTTCCTCCTCTTTGCCCTCCTCCTCTGGGCTTTTGCCATCTTCACGTACCTGAAGGTCCCAGAGACGAGGGGTCGCACCTTTGACGACATCGCGGCCACCTTCCGCCGGACGCCCTCCTTGCTGGACCGCGAGATCAAGCCGTACACGGAACTGGACGAACTCAGTCCGGACAACCACGAGTGAAGGGGGAGAACCCTTTTGGGGGGGAAAAAGGTGGACGATGGGACGTGCCCAAGGCCAGCAGGGAACCGAGCAGGGGAGCGTGGGCTGCGGAGTCGGGGAGGCGGCGGAGGGCGAGGAGACCCCGGTTCTGCCCAAGCACTTTATCTCGAGAGAGAGTTGTCCGGCCTGTGTTCGGTCGAACCGATTTTTTCCTTTAGGTCAGTTTTAGTCGGGATGTATGGTTTTTTTTGGATTTTTTTCTTCTTTTTTAACAAAAAGGGAAATATTTTATTTAATTTTCAATTTTAATGTTATTTTTATTGGCAAGACAGGTCTATATAGAGATTATAGGGTGTGACACCACTTGGACTGACAGGACTCAATGCTATGGAATTCTGAGAGATGTAGTTTTACAAGGGCTGCAGCTAATGTGGCTTTAACTTCTATGGATTCCTGGGAGATATAGTTTTACAGGAGCTACATCTACACTGTGCAACTAAATGTGGCTTTAACTGCTCTGGAATCCTAGAATGTGTAGTTTTTCAAGGATTGCATCTACAGTGTGGAATTAAATGCAGCTTAAACGCCACTTAAATTGGTGTAGAATCCAGAAGATATAGTTTTACAAGGGTTGCGTCTACACTGTGCAACTAAATGTGGCTTTAACTGCTCTGGAATCCTAGAATGTGTAGTTTTACAAGGGCTGCATCTACAGTGTGGAATTAAATGCAGCTTAAACGCCACTTAAATTGGTGTAGAATCCAGAAGATATAGTTTTACAAGGGTTGCGTCTACACTGTGCAACTAAATGTGGCTTTAACTGCTCTGGAATCCTAGAATGTGTAGTTTTACAAGGGCTGCATCTACAGTGTGGAAGTAAATGCAGTTTAAACACCACTTAAATTGGTGTAGAATCCAGGAGATATAGTTTCGCAAGGGCTGCATCTAAACTGTGGAACTGAATGCAGCACTTGAACTTCCATGTCACAATGTTATGGGATCCTAGGAGTTATAGTTTGCACCATTTGGCAGAAAAGGCTGAAGGTCTTGGAAAACTACAACTGCCAGGGTTCCACTGCATTCACCTCTGGGTAAATGTGGCCCTATGGGATCCAAGGAGATATAGTTTTCCAAGGACTGCATCAACACTGTAGAATTGAATGCTGTATGACAGGACTTGAACTTCCATGTCACAATGTTATGGGATCCTAGGAGTTATAGTTTGCACCATTTGGCAGAAAAGGCTGAAGGACTTCGGAAACTACAATTGCCAGGGTTCCACTGCATTCAGCTGTGGTTAAATGTGGCCCTATGGGATCCAAGGAGATATAGTTTTCCAAGGACTGCATCAACACTGTAGAATTGAATGCTGTATGACAGGACTTGAACTTACACGTCGCAATGTTAAGGGATCCTAGGAGTTATAGTTTGCACCATTTGGCAGAAAAGGCTGAAGGACTTGGAAAACTACAACTGCCAGGGTTCCACTGCATTCAGCTGTGGTTAAATGTGGCCCTATGGGATCCAAGGAGATATAGTTTTCCAAGGACTGAATCTACACTGTGGAATTAAATGCGGCGTTAACAGCTATGTAATCCTGGGAGATATAGTTTTATAAGGGTTGCATCTACACTGTGGAATTAAAAGCGGCTTTAACTACTATGGAATCCCAGGATATGTAGTTTTACAAGGGCTACATCTACGCTGTGGAATTAAATGAGGTTTTAATTGCTATGGAATCCTGGGATATGTAGTTTTTAGAAGGGCTGCATCTACACTGTGGAATTAAATGCCGTTTAAACATTTAACATTTAAACAATTAAATTGATGTAGAATCCCAGGAGATGTAATTTTCCAAGGGCTGCATCCACACTGTGCAATTAAATGCAGTTTAAACCATACTTAAATTGATGTAGAATCCCAGGAGATGTAATTTTCCAAGGGCTGCATCTACACTGTGCAATTAAATGCAGTTTAAACACCAGTTATATTGCTGTAGAATCCCGGGAGATATAGTTCTCCAAGAGCTGCATCAACACTGTAGAATCGAATGCTGTATGGCAGCACTTGAAATTCCATGTCTCAGTGTTATGGGTTGGTTCCTGGGAGTTATAGTTTGCACCATTTGGTAGAAAAGGCTGGAGGCCTTGGAAAACTATAACTGCCAGCAGAACTAAAACCTCTGAAGGTGAGTTAGGAATGCCAGTGCGACTTCGAAACCTCCTTCTTCTCTGAGATTTTGGTTATTTATATGTTGTGCCGGTTTGAGACCAGAGTGCTCCTGAACATGTGCAGAGTACCTTTTCCCCTCCACCACTCATTGTACTTCGGAAACCACAGCTCGCCTGGCGCACATCCTTGTATTGTTGTTTTATTATTTTGGGATTTGGGGGGTGTTTGTGTATCTATTTCAGGGACTCCTGGTCTCAAGGTCTGACCCCGCACTTTCAAGAAGACGGAGATTTTTCTATACGGTTTTCCTGTTTTGTGCAGCCGCCCACACAAGGCCGAAGGAAGGGGAGAGCATTGCCCTTGGGAGGAAAGGAGATATAGTTCCTTTCCAGGGGGCAGGGTAACAAATTCCAGCACAGACGGAGTATGGTATTAGCACTGAATTCTTTTTCCCAGCATCCATGGACAGAACACGAAGCATAATTTGGAACTGCATCGAATTCCCTTTTGGATGCCAGTTCCTAGCATCCAGGACTGGAGCATAAAGTACGAGGGAGGGTTGAATGAAAAGTAATGCCTCCACCTTCGTAACTCAACAGATGGCAATACTGGTATGTGGCAGGTACTGGCTTGTTCAGTAGACATATACACATATATAAATACACAAAACAAATATACACAGACTGGGCCACAGCAACGCATGGCAGGGGACAGCTAGTGTTTGCATAATTATAGATTCCAATTGTACTGAAAGGCTTTTAATGTCTCCTTGTTGGAGAGAAAAGTGGGGTATAAATAACAATAACAACATGAGGAAGAACTTCCTAATTGTGAGGGAGAACTGTTCAGCAGTGGAACTCTCTGCTGTGGAGTGTGATGGAGGTTCCTTCTTTGGAGGCTTTTAAGCAGAGGCTGGGTGGCCATCTGTCGGGGGTGCTTTGAATGTGATTTTCCTGCTTCTTGGCAGAGTGGGGTTGGACTGGATGGCCTTCGAGGTCTCTTCCAACTCATTGATTCTATGAGGGTTGAATGAAAAGTAATACCTCCACCTTCGTAACTCCTCAACAGATGGCTGTACTGGTATGCGGCAGGTACTGGCTTGTTCAGTAGACTCTCCTCTACAGTTCCATTTTGGCAGGAAGCCTTAGCATTGGACGGTTGTGTTGTTAAAGTGCAAAGTATGGAACCCTGCGCAGACGGTCGGTCAATGCGACTTAAACAACGTATGTAGCAGGTACTGGCTTGTTCAGTAGACTCTCCTCTACAGTTCCATTTTGGCGAGAAGCCTTAGTATTGAACAGTTGTGTTGTTAAAGTGCGAAGTATGGAACCCTACGCAGATGGTCAATGCGACTTAAGCAATGTATGCGGCAGGTACTGGCTTGTTCAGTAGACTCTCCTCTACATTTCCATTTCAGTGGGAAGTCTTTGCATTGAACGGTTGTGTTGTTAAAGTATGAAGTATGGAACCCTGCGCAGATGGTCGGTCAATGCAACTTAAGCAACGTATGCGGCAGGTACTGGCTTGTTCAGTAGACTCTCCTCTACAGTTCCATTTTGGCAAGAAGCCTTAGCATTGGACGGTTGAGTTGTTAAAGTGCGAAGTATGGAACCCTGCGCAGACTGTCGGTCAATGCAACTCAAGCAACGTATGCGGCAGGTACTGGCTTGTTCAGTAGACTCTCCTCTACAGTTCCATTTTAGCGGGAAGCCTTCGCATTGAATGGTTGTGTTGTTAAAGTGTGAAGTATGGAACCCTGCGCAGACGGTCGGTCAATGCGACTTAAGCAACGTATGTGGCAGGTACTGGCTTGTTCAGTAGACTCTCCTCTATAGTTCCATTTTAGCAGGAAGGCATTACTTTTTATTCAACCCTCGTATTTGCCATTAATTTCCTTTTGGATTACAATTCCCAGCATCAATTGATGGATTCTGGCAGGCCTGTGCAAACTTTGGCCTTCCAGGTGTTTTGGCTGTTAGGAATTGTGGAAGTTGAAGTCCAAAACACCTGGAGGGAGAGCCAAAGTTTGCCCATGCTTGCCTTAGGGGCTTCTGGGAGTTGTAGTGAGTCCTGTTGAATCTATGATACAGATTTATTGCTGCCTATTTGGGGATTGGAAAAAAATGGTTTTTATTTTTATTTTAATACTTCCTTTGCTGAAGATTAACGCCTTCGATGTCATTGTGTGGCACATGGGCTTTGTAGTAATGGTGATGGGAATGTTTTGGGATTTGTTTGCTGAGAAACGTAATGGTGAGTAAATCCCAGGATTTCTTGAGGGACATCAATAATGTTCAATGTATGTTCGAAGGCTTCCATGGCTGGAATCACTGGGTTGTTGTAGGTTTTTCGGACTGTATGGCCATGTTCTAGAAGCATTCTCTCCTGCATCTATGGCAGACATCCTCAGAGGTTGTGAGGTCTGTTGTGAGGTCACAACCTCTTAAGATGCCTGCCATAGATGCAGGCGAAACGTCAGGAGAGGATGCCTTTGAAACATGGCCAGACTACCTGAAAAACCTACTACAATCCATCTCTAATGTTGAATCGACGCAGTGTGACCCCACTTGAACTGCCATGGCTCAATGGTATGGAATGATGGGAACTGTAGTCCCATACCAAAGAGTGTTGGAGTCTTCCTTCAGCCTTTCTCAAGATGACAATTTTCCAAACATTACTCAAGGGTTGGCCATGGTGTGCCTTTCAACACATTGGGACTGCAACTCCCAGCATCCTTAGAGGTGAGGAGTGATGGGAGTTGCAGTCCAGCTACACCTCGAGATATTTTTTTCCCCAGCACTGTTATAAAGCAGGAGTGAGACTTCTCTACAGGGGGAGACCCTGTCTTAAGATTCTGTGTGTGTGTGTGTGCATGTTGATTTGTTTTGTATATCTGGAAACAAAATATTTGTATATAAAGCTACTTATACAGCCCTTCTTCGCTTTGCCTGCATTCTATCCAGTGTCGGGGCTGAAACTATATATGGACAGCTTCTTATTAAGTCTATACAACAGGACTGCGCCAACTTGGGCCCTCCCTCCAGGTGTTTTGGACTTCAACTCCCATCATTCCTCACAGCCTCAGGCCCTTTCCTTTTCCCCCTCAATTCAAGAACTTCCAGAGAAGGAGACTCCATTGAAGGAACCTCCAAAGGGCATCTAGTCCAACCTCCTTAAGCCAGGCAGAAAGATACCCAAAGCCCTCCCAATAGACATCCATTCTGCCTCAATTCAAGAACCTCCAGAGAAGAAGACTCAATTGGAGGGGACCCCCAAAGGGCATCTAGTCCAACCTCCTTAAGCCAGGCAAGAAGGTACCCAAAGTCCTCCCAATAGACAACCATTCAAGAACCTCCAGAGAAGGAGACTCCATTGGAGGGGACCCCCAAATAGCATCTAGTCCAACCTCCTTAAGCCAGGCAGGAAGATACCCAAAGCCCTCCCAATAGATACTCTGGGCTTTACTCCAAACTTCAAAATCTACTAAGTGCTAGGAATTGTGGGAGTTGAAGTCCACCTGGAGAGCCCAAGTTTGCCCAGGTCTGGTATAGTTGTATTTGTAACATTGGTTAAGTAAGGCTTATTGGGAATCTTCCAAGTTGGCTGCGACTCATTGGAGACCCTCTCCTAGGCGGGTTTGAAACAAGACTTCTTCAGCAGAGGTAGCTCAAAATAGAACTGATTTGTGGTTACGAACGATGGCAGTCTGTCTGTCGTCACGTGAAGATCATAGAATACAATGGAAGGGAACCCCAAAGATCACCCAGTCCAACCTCCAACCACCTTAAGCCAGACAGGAAGGTACCCAAAGTCCTCCCAATAGACAGCCATTCAACCTTAATTCAAGAACCTTCAGGCAGCAATGGGAGCCCTCCTGACAGCCATCCAGCTTTTCTTTCTTGAAGTCCTCATAGAAAGAGACTTGTACTCCATTTAGGCAGAAAAAAGGAAATGTAAAGAGACAGAATGGGGGATGCGTGGCTTGAGAGCAAGACATGTGAAAAAGATCTTGGGAGTCCTCATGGACAACAAGTTAAACATGAGCAAGGAATGTGATGTGGCGGCAAAAAAAGCCAATGGGATTTTGGCCTGCATCAATAGGAGCCTAGTGTCTAGATCTAGGAAAGTAATGCTCCCCATGCTCTATTCCGCCTTGGTCAGACCACACCTGGAATATTGTGTCCAATTCTGGGCACCACAATTGAAGGGAGATGTTGACAAGCTGGAGTGTGCCCAGAGGAGGATGACCAAAATGATAAAGGGTCTGGAGAACAAGTCCTATGAGGAACGGCTTAAAGAGCTGGGCATGTTTAGCCTGAAGAAGAGAAGGTGGAGACATGATAGTAAATATGTTAGGGAAAGTCCTAGAGAGGAGGAAGCAAGCTTGTTTTCTTCTGCCCTGGAGACTAGGATGCAGTGAAATAATGACTTCAAACTACAAGAAAGGAGATTCCTCCTAAACATTAGAAAGAACTTCCTGACTGTGAGAGCTGTTCAGCAGTGGAACTCTCTGCCCCGGTGGAGGCTCCTTCTTTGGAGGCTTTTAAACAGAGGCTGAATGGCCATCTGTCAGGGGTGTTTTGAATGCGATTTTCCTGCTTCTTGGCAGAATGGGGTTGGACCGGATGGCCTTTGGGGGTCTCTTCCAACACTACGATTCTATGACATCAAATTACAAGAAAGAAGATTCCACCTGAACATGAGGAAGAACTTCCTGACTGTGAGAGGTGTTCAGCAGTGGAACTCTCTGCCCTGGAGCGTGGTAGAGGCTCATTCTTTGTGGGCTTTTAAACAGAGGCTGAATGGCTATCTGTCGAGGGTGCTTTGAATGTGATTTTCCTGCTTCTTGGCAGAATGGGGTTGGACTGGATGGCCTTCGGGGGTCTCTTCCAACTCTAGGATGCTATGACTTCACCATAATCCAAATCCTGGAGTTGAGGGGGAATGCAAAGCAAGACACAACACCAAAGCCCTCCTGGCAGATGGCCGTTCATCCTCTGCTTGAAGAAACCTCCATAGGATTTCACTATCAATAGCAAATCCCAGAGGCAAACAGTTCTAAGTTCTTGCTAATGTTTACATGGGATTCCTTTTCCTCCGGTTTGAACCCATATGGTGTCCGTACGTGGTATGATTCCTGTCTCCAAAAGCTACAGAGAGAAGAGCCCCGGCCTCCGCCCCTCAAACCCGGACCCGCCCTTTGACAAAACACACAACGAGATGCAAATCTGTGCAAATTTTTTTTTTTACTGACGCCCAAACCGCACACAAATGGCTCACAAGGGGTGTTCTTCAACAATTGGGGGGGAAGAAAAAAAATTAACTGAAGATTCAACCAGCCGGTCTCTTACCTCTCAAACCGGCCAAAGGATATTATGGGAGGGGGGAGGCAAGCCCCTCGAGAAAGGTTTTAAAGCAAAGTGACTTTGGTTCCCTTTTCGGTCAAGTTCCCCCCCGACAGGTTTTTCTTCTTTTCCTCTCTAAACTTTTACACATTTGGGGCATCAACAGCAGCAAAAGGGGGGATACTGGTGAAGTTTGGGGTCTCTTCAAGTCCAGGATGAGGTAACTTGGGTTGGCAGGCACATGGTGGACACCTGCGGGCAGGAAGAGAAGGGCGCGGTCAGATGGTGGCACGGGGCGCGTCTACACTGGGGAACTAATGCTGGTTGGCACCACTTTAACCTCCTTGACCCAGTGCTATGCAACTATGGAAGCTGTAGTTTCACAAGGCCTTTTACCCTCCACTGCCACAAAGGGCTGGCGCCTCACCCAACTACAACTCCCAGGGTTCGCATTGAGCCATGGCATTTAAAGTGGTATCAAACTGCAATAATTCTGCAATGTAGATGCACCTAGGAGAGAGTTGCATCAGTAAATCACAGTAACAAAGGCACACATATAATTTTGGAACGTAACTACAGTTATTGAAGGGGTTACATTGCAGGACTTCCCTCAATAAGTGAAAAACCGTGATGTAAGGACACTATATTTTAATATTTATGCATTATTTTAGTGTATTGTCAAAGGCTTTCGTGGCCAGAATCACTGGGTTGTTGTAGGTTTTTTCGGGCTATATGGCCATGGAAATGCTGTGTCCAGGTTGGTTCATCAGGTGGACACAGCATATTATTTGAGAACACAGAAATGCTGGACCACTCTCACAACCACCATGTCAGACTACACAGAGAAGCCATTGAAATACACAAGCATGTGGACAATTTCAATAGAAAGGAGGAAACCATGAAAATGAACAAAATCTGGCTACCAGTATTAAAAAACTCTAAAATTACAACAGCACAACAACAGAGAGGAAAAAACAAGGACATCTAATCACCTCTCAACAAAAGTTTGCTCCAGGCACTGTCAGGCCATTATATGCTAATCAAGGTGGTCAGTTGAAACATTCACACCTAGCTCCAGCAGACAAGAGTCCTTTGTCCCACCCTGGTCATTCCACAGATATATAAACCCTGTTTCCTAGTTCCAACAGACCTCACTACCTCTGAGGATGCTTGCCATAGATGCAGGCGAAACGTCAGGAGAGAATGCCTCTAGAACATGGCCGTATAGCCCGAATAAACCTACAACAACCCATTATTTTAGCATTTATACACTATTTTAAGTCTTTATAAACTTACAATAAAGGGAAGGGAAGGCCCTTCAAGGACTGAGGAGGGAAAGTGCCTTGGAGAGCGGTGGCAACAAAAAGCCGTGAAACAGCTAAAATGCTGCAATATATATTTTAAAATAATATTTTTTGAAATCCCCGAAACAGCGAGTCTGCTAAAAGCGAACTGCAAAGTAGCGAGGGAACACTGTTTTGTGGTTTCCCATCTGCAGAAATACCCTGAAAACCGATTGATGGTTTCAGGGGATTGTTATAGTTTCAGCAATTATTATTATTATTATTATTATTAACTTTATTTATACCCCGCAAAATCTCCCAAAGGACTCGATGCGGCTTACAAAGGCTGAGGCCGCCGACAACAACAACATACAATACACAGTAAAACTCATAGGCAATTTGGAAGGTATCAGGCTTCCAAAGACATCGTATTATAAGGCATTCAAGGCATTTCTACTCCAGATTTTGCCTCCAAGTTTAGTCCAGGCAAGCCTTCTAGCCTACCTCCCCAAATGTTTCGGTTCCCAAATTATCTGGGCCACATGGTATTGTTACAACAGTGCCCCACTTTACCCCAGTGGTTGGAAGAGATCCTTGGGGCCTGCCGCCCGTCTCCACGGGGGTATCGCATTCCGCCTGCGGATCAGGTTGAGCCAGGGCTGAAAAGCAGCCTTGGAAACACAAGCCACCGTCCCTCCCTAAACAAGCCGCATTTGTTAAGGAATCGCTTGGAGAGAAATCTACTTTCCCCGCTTCCGATGCCCAGATCCAATTAGCTACTCAACCCCTTTTCTCAGTCTAAACCAGGTGTGGACAAACTTGGGCCCTCCGGGTGTTTTGGACTTCAACTCCCACAATTCCTAACAGCCGGTAGGCTGTTAGGAATTGGGGGAGGTGAAGTCCAAAACACCTGGAGGGCCCAAGTTTGGAGAGACCCTGGTTTGCAGGAATGCACTGTCCATATCTTCCTCCTGTCATAAACCCTTCAAGTTGAGATCTGACCCCCAAAAGCCTCCATGTACAGCCCTTTGGATAATATTTATTTATTTATTGTATTTCCATACCGCTTTTCTCAACCCCGATGGTGGTTGTTCTCAATCTGCAGGTCCCCAGGTGTTTTGACCTACAACTCCCAGAAATCCCAGCTGTTAGGATTTCTGGGAGTTGTAGGTCAAAACATCTGGGGACCCCAGATTGAGAACCACTGGCCTCAGGGGACTCAAAGCGGTTTCCAACTTATTGCCGAAGGGCTTTCATGGCTGGAATGACTGGGTTCCAGAAGCATCCTCTCCTGACGTTTCACCTGCATCTATGGCAGGCATCCTTAGAGGTTGTGAGGTCTGTTGGAAACCAGGAAAATTGGGTTTATATCTCTGTGGACAGTCCAGGGTGGGAGGAAGAACTCTTGTCAGGCCATAGGTTTTTAATCCTTGTGTATTATTGCTTAATGTTCATTGTTTATATGTGATTTATATTAACTGTATTGTATTGTATTGCCTTTGTTTATTGCTTTCTTGTTTTATTGATGTGTTGTTGGGCTTGGCCTCATGTAAGCCACTCCGACTCCCTTGGGGAGATGGTGGCGGGGTATAAATAAAGTATTATTATTATCAAATGCTAATCAAGGTGGCCAATTACAATATTCACACCTACCTCAAACAGACAAGACTTCTTTCTCCCACCCTGGACCTTTTACAGAGATATAAACCCCATTTTCCTAGTTTCCAACAGACCTCACACCCTCCGAGGACGCCCGCCATAGATGGAGGCAAAATGTCAGGAAAGAATGCTTCCAGGACATAGTAGCATACAGCCAAAAAAACCTACAGCAACCCGGTTTCCAACATAATAAATGGCAAAGATTCAGTGCCTCACAATCATATGAAGCAATACATCACAACTAAAACAATAACATATAAAATGGTTAAAAACTATACAAACCATCAAACAGAGCAATAAAACATGTGAATTCCTTTAGTTGCTTAAGTATTACCATCATTCATCGAATGGCTGCTCGCATAGCCAGGTTTTCGGCTGTTTCCTGATCATCAGGTGGAAGGGGGCCAATCTAATCTCACTGCAGAGGGAGTTCCACAGTCGAGGGGTCACCACCAAGAAGGCCCTGTCTCTCGTCCCCAACAATTGCACCTGTGAAGGCGGTGGGACCGAGAGCAGGACCTCCCTGGCTGATCTTAGCTCTCTAACTGGCTCATAAATGAGTCCCCTCGGTCTGAGAATGGTGGTATAGAAGCATGGTAAATCAAGAAATAAAGGAAGATGCGTTTGGACAGGTGAGCTGGACTCCCATTCCTAAGAAGGAATCCTTACCAGATCACGGCTCTCGGCATCCCCTGACCGGGTGAAGGCGCATCATGCCAGGACGGCGGTGGGGGCCAGCTCTCCCCCAGGCTCAGGTGTTGAGATCTGTGGGGAGGGAACAGGTCACAAGCCAGAAGAGACCCCCGAGGGCCACCCAACCCAACCCTTCTGCCAGGCAGGAAGACACAATCAGAGCCCTCCCAATAGATGGCCATCCAGCCTCTGTTTCAAAAACTCTACTGGACTCTCGGTCGGCAGCATATCCCACTACCAAACCTCTTACTATCGGGAAGTTATTTCTAACGTTTAGGTGGAATCTCTTTCCCTGCAACTGGAATCCATTGCTTTATTGTGTCCTGGTCTCCAGCAGGAAAGAAACTTTGTCCCCTCTTCAAGGTACAGTAGAGTCTCGCTTATCCAACCTTTGCTCATCCAACGTTCTATATTATCCAACTCAGTCTGCCTCCCGCCCGGATCCACAGCTGTTACAATACATCACAATGTTTTGGTGCTAAATTCGTAAATACAGTAATTACTACATAATGTTAGGGTGTACTGAACTGCTTACTCTGTTTATTGAACTGCTTTTTATGCTGTAAAACATGGTGTTTTGGTGCCAATTTGTAAAACCATAACATAATTTGACGTTTAGTAGGCTTTTCCTTAATACCTCCTTATTATCCAATATTTTTGCTAATCCAATGTTCTGACAGGTTGGATAAGCAAGACTCTACTGTATTTCAGCCTGGCAATGATGTCCCTTCTCAACCTCTGCTTCTCCAGGCTAAGCATCCCCAGCTCCCTAAGCTGCTCCTCAGAGAGATTCATAGTTCTTATAATTCTGATAACCTTGGACCAATGTGGTGGTCAGCCTCCTCTCCCCTAGGTTCAGGAGGAAAACCATGCACAAATGTGCTGTTTCAACCCAAGTTTCCAACAATTCGCTCTACTCCTACGGTTAGTCCAAGGGGGCTCAACCTTCAACTCAACTCAAGGCAGACCTCTTGTGGCAACCGGAGATACAACAGGGTCCCAGACGATGTCTCGGCAAGCTTTGGCCCTCCAGGTGTTTTGGACTTCAACTCCCACAATTCCTAACAGCCTACCGGCTGTTAGGAATTGTGGGAGTTGGAGTCCAAAACACCTGGAGGGCCAAAGCTTGCCGTCCTCCACTTACGTCCACAAGCTGTTGCTGGATTTCCGGCAGCGGCTGGGAGGCGTTCTCCTGGGCCGGGGAGGCGGGCTTGCTGGCCTCCATCACCGCGTCTTGAGCCGAGGCAGGAGTGTCTCCACCTGCGGCTGCGGAGCTGGGAGCAGGTGGGTCTTTGGTGGCCGTGGCAGCCTGGGGGAGGAGAGAAGGCGCCCGGTCGGGGCCCCGGAAAGGAGACTGGTACTCAACATGGGGACAGAAAGGCCGTGGTCCAATCCTTGGGACTCTGCAGGGGCACACACTTTCCCCATCACACATTTGGGACGGAGAGGCCTCTTGGTTTGTCTTTGCTTTCCTCTGAGGCCGAGAGAGTGTGACTCGGTCAAGATCACCTGGTAGGTTCCTATGACCAAGCAGGGATTCCAAAATCTGAAGTCCCATGATGAGAGCTCTGTGCCTCATTGGCCATTCGGATTCTCAAAGTTAAAACCCACATCCCTGACAATTCCTGGCCTTTTTGGAGACTAGGATTTAAACCTAGGCTACTTCTTTATGAGTAAAAGTAATCCAAAAGTAAACATCTTGGGAGGAAAAGTAATCCAAAAGTAAACATCTCTAGAACATGGCCATATAGCCCGAAAAAACCCACAAGAACCTAAACATCTTGCTGTTTGGGACAGGACATATGCCAACTATAGCCAAACCTATATCCCACTTTAACCCAGGAAAGGGTTCCAGACGATGTCTCAGCAAACTTGGGCCCTCAAGGTGTTTTGGACTTCAACTCCCACAATTCCTAACAGCCCACCGGCTGCTACAGAACCCAGGTGTACCGATATAGATCTCTGTGATTCTTAGGGTGCATCTACAATGTCAGGCATAGGCAAACTTTGGCCCTCCGGGTGTTTTGAACTCCAACTCCCACAATTCCTAACAGCCTACCGGCTGTTGCAGAACTCAGATGTACAGATATTGATCTCTGTGATTCTTAGGGTGCATCTACAATGTCAGGCATAGGCAAATTTTGGCCCTCCGGGTGTTTTGGACTTCGACTCCCACAATTCCTAACAGCCCACGACTGCTACAGAACCCAGATGTACAGATATAGATCTCTGTGATTCTTAGGGTGCATCTACAATGTCAGGCATAGGCAAATTTTGGCCCTTCGGGTGTTTTGGACTCCAACTACCACAATTCCTAACAGCCTACCGGCTGTTAGGAATTGTGGAAGTTGAAGTCCAAAACACCCGGAGGGCCAAAGTTTGCTGATACCTGGGTTAGCATATCATAATGCTTCCTCTCCATCTGAATGGCTGAATCCTCCCAAAATGTGTGACGGTTTCAAAGCTTTCCAGGTGATGGATGTGAAAAACCACAGTCAAGACTGTGAGCAAGTGGTTACGCTCAATGCCAAGCCATGCAGATGCCAAGGTGCCCAAACCTCTGCCTGGTGCCCTTCACCCTCCTCACCTCATTTGCAGTCTGGCGGCCGGCGGCCGTTTGCTGGCGCCTGCGCTGGAAGTAAGGGCGGTTGCGCTGGCGCTGGGGCTCCGGGCGGATGCCGTCTGCCGGGGCCTGGGCCGCTTTGGTCTCTCCATCGCCTCCTTCAGTGGTGGGCTGCTGGGGTGGGCGGGGGCGGAAAGGCCTGGGCAACAAAAGGTAAGACACCAGGTGTCGTACACCAGAGCCAAAAATAGCAAAACAGTAAAAGCCCAACATCCAAAAAAGTTCATAAGCTTCAAACGGAAACAAGATCTATTAGTACACGAAGCAAGGTACTTAAAACCATGAAACAAAACAGCAGGAAAATCCCATAAGCAAAACTTAAGCTTGGCAAAAACTTGGTACATGAAACTCAGAGCACTTGAAAGCAAGACTGTGATAAAATAACAATGTTGCCTCGACTGAGGCCACTCACTCCCATGAATCATTATAAACTTTTCCCAGGACCCAAAACTGAAAGGAAAGCAATCTTTTTGACTTTCCCACTAGATAACGATTTGTTATCTTTCTTTTCCTGTAGACAAATAATAATCATATAATAATAAAACTTTATTTCTACCCCGCTACCATCTCCCCAAGGGACTCGGTGCGGCTTACATGAGGCCAAGCCCACAGTACATCAATAAACAAAAGCAATAACAAAAAAAAATCAATACAAAACAATTAATATAAATCATATAAGCAAAAATAAACAATAATAATAACAGTAAAACACAAGCATTTAAAAAACCTATGGCTGGGCCAAATGTAATAATTAAAATTAGGTTCTTGTAGGTTTTTTCGGGCTATAGGGCCATGTTCTAGAGGCATTTCTCCTGACGTTTCGCCTGCATCTATGGCAAGCATCCTCAGAGGTAGTGAGGTCTGTTGGAAATAGGAAAATGGGTTTATATATCTGTGGAATGACTGGGGTGGGGCAAAGAGCTCTCTGCTGAAGCTAGGTGTGAATGTTTCAGCTGACCACCTTCATTAGCATTTGAAGGCCTGGCTGAGCCTGGGAAAATGTTCTGTTGAGAGGTGTTAAGATGTGCCTGGTTGTTTCCTCTCTGCTGTTTTGCTGTAGTAATTTTAGAGTTTTTTAATACTGGTAGCCAGATTTTGTTCATTTTCATGGTCTCCTCCTTTCTGTTGAAATTGTCCACATGCTTGTGGATTTCAATGGCTTCTCTGTGTAGTCTGACATGGTGGTTGTTGGAGTGGTCCAGCAATAATTAAAATTTTTAAAAGAATGCTGGGCATGAGCAAGGTAGAATATAACTGGGATAGGGTTTTTCAAAGAGAAATGAGGGAACGCAGTCAGTCCTAAATCAATGGTAAAGTGCATTTTGAGACTGATTGCCTCAGTCTCTGAAAGCTCCACCTCTGTTTACTAAAACGTCGCTTTCTGTCCAAGGTTTCACTATCCTCTCCCTCATTAACTCCTGCAGCTGGCAAATCAATCTCAGCAGCATATTCAGACAGTTGTTCTGAGAAAAGCGGTGAAAGGTCCCTCCCCGGAATGTGGCCTTGTGAATCTTCCTGAAACCGTTCAGGCATCTCTTCTGATCTTAGCTTAGGCCCAAGCAGCCCCTCATCCCCAGTCCTCTCAGGAACATTCCCATCCACATGAACATCATTCCCATCATGGGCATCAACATGAACATCAGACACAACCACAAGCTGAACAGGCTGACATACTACACCAGGTGTCAACTCTACTCTTGATTGGCTTTATTGTTATCCTGCCTTCTCTTTTCCCCTGGATAATAAATCAATGTTGATGTTCTTCAAGGAGCCCCTGTTCTCAGTCCCCTTCTACACTGCCATATATATAATCAAGATTATCAAAACAGATCATACACATTATATGTTTTGAACTGGATTGTATGAGTCTACACTCCCATACAATCCAGTTCAAAGCAAATAATTTGGATTGTATATGAAATGGAGAAAGGGATTAAATGGTTTCCTTCCTCCCCAGATTCACAATCTATTTGCCAAACTTTAACACATTTTCCAGAAAGAGATCTAATGGTTTGGGGAGATGCAAGAGGCCGTTTTAACATCATGGTTTAAAACTCTAAACGGCAACCTCAGTCTAAATATTTATACACACTATTATATACACCGCTAAGCAGCTATCCCAGAGAGGGGAAGGGCGCAGGGACTGATGGGCTCAACCTAAAAAGAATCTTGGATCCTGCCATTCCGCTTGGAACGCAGGGCTTCAAGCTCAAGTGTCGTGGATTGCTCCTCCTTGCCATCCCGAGAATAGTGACAGGGCAGGAGCATGCCGTTCCTTTCAAAGCCCAGTGGTGTAGCACTTTTGAGTGTTGCACTAGGACTCCGGGGACCCAGATTCGAATCCCCACTCAGCAGTAAATACTCTTCCAAGTCGCCCAGTTTTCTGTGTGCCCAGGGGGGAGTCTCTCATTTTGTATCAGCCATTGATTGAGGTTCTGGGCTTGAGCCTGCCACTTTTGGACTCTCGCTTGCTGAAGTGTTCCAAAGAGTGTCTCTGTAGATCTTAGAAAACTATGTCTTGATTTAAGTCATTGACGTGCTGGCTGATACCCAAACAGGGGATGAGCTGGAGATGTCACTGCCTTGGTCCTTTCTCTATTAGCTGCTACTTCCCGGCAGATGTCAGGTGGTGCAATACCGGCTAAACAGTGTAATTTCTCCAGTAGACACCCCGTGATAATGTGGCATGTTTCATTAAGGGCCACATCTACTGTTTTAGCGTGGTGAGATGTGTTCCACACTGGGCATGCACACTGAGCATGCAACTTGGAAGGTGCTACACAGATTGTGCTCTGGCACCACAAGATGCAGAGCCAACCTTCAGAAATGGGGCTACAAAGTGGAATCCACGACATGCGAGTGTGGAGAAGAGCAAACCACTGACCACTTGCTGCAATGCAACCTGAGCCCTGCCACATGCACAAGGGAGGACCTCCTTGCAGCAACACCAGAGGCACTTCAAGTGGCCAGATACTGGTCAAAGGACATTTAACCAACTACCAAGCTTGCAAATGTTGTGTTTTGTATGTTTGTTTGTTTGTTAAAAAATGCAATACAACTGTTTGGTTTGCTCCTGACACGATACATAAATAGTAAACACTTTGGTCTCAGCCCCAGAAAACCCTGTGATACAGTTGCCGTAAGTCAGAATTGAGTAAAAGGTACACAACAAAAACAAAGGGGCTGGACAGGGGGAAAACGTGAGACCTCAAAAAAATCTCCCTGCTGCTTTACCTGCGGTATCTGGGGCGGAAGCGTGGTGCCGGGGCTCTCTCCCCGGCCTGGATCTGCTGCTGCTGGTCTCCCTCAGGCTGGGTGGCATCCTTGGGTTCGGCGCTCTCAGTGCCCTGAGGAAGAAGACCTTCTTCTTCATTTGCTCTATTGTTATACCACCTTCCTCCTGGTCAAAGTCCCCAAGAGAGGACCCAGCTGCCTCTTCCCAGGCTGGAAGAGACCCCCAACCGACCCCCATGGCGCAATGGAAGCAGGGGTGGGCAAAATCTTTTCCGCACTGCAGGACACCTGAGCAGAGGTGAGGTGGCAAAGGAGCCAAAGCAGTGCATTATTCCGATAGATGAGTGGCTTGGAGTTATTTCGTGCCAAAAATTCTCCATTGGGAGTTGAGGGCTTCAGGGATTGTCTGGAAAGTCTTATGGGCCACACATTCACTGCCCCCAAACGTATAGCAAAAGGGAGGCATTTTGCACTGGGATATTCTGCTATGCATTTACCTTTGAATAGGAAAAGGTGCACTAGCATAGTGTAGGAGTTTGGGTATTGGCCAAGAGAAAACAACTGGAAAAAAATCCATTTCTTGAGTTGTGAGTTTTCTCGGCTGTCTGGCCAAGTTCCAGAAGCATTATCTCCAGACGTTTTGCCTGCATCTGTGGCATACATCCTCGGAGGTTGTGAGGATTTCACAAACTCACAACCTCTGAGGATGCCTGCTATAGATGAAGGCAAAATGTCAGGAGAGAATATTTCTGGAACATGACCAGATAGACCAGAAAACTCACAAAAACCCAGTTGATTCTGACCATGAAAGCCTTTGACAATACATTTCTTGAGTATTCCTTGCTTAGGAAAACCCACCGAAATTAATGGAATCACCGTAAGCCAACGGGCATGAAGTTCTGGCCTTGGTCCCTTTTCCCCAAATGCTGAAGACTAGAACGTCCAAAGCATGGGGAAAGATGCCTTTTTGGACTATTGACTCCAAGCACAGCTGCTGGTGGATTCTGGGAGTGAAAGTCCAAAGGGAAGAACATTTCCTGAGCCCAGGAGGACCGCCAAGGAGTCTCAGGTGCTGGAGGCAATATTTGAGATCTAGCCTTGGTTCCTTTTCCTCAAATGCTGAAGACTAGAACTTCCAGAGCATGGGGAAAGACGCCTTTTTGGACTATTGTTTCCAAGCAGGGCTGCTAGTGGATTCTGGGAGTGGAAGTCCAAAGGGAAGAACCTTCCCCAAGCCCAGGAGGCCCACCAAGGAGTCCCAGGTGATGGAGGCAATATTTGAGATCTAGCCTTGGCTCCTTTTCTCCCAATGCTGAAGACTAGAACTTCCAGAGCATGAGAAAAGATGCTTTTTGGACTATTGATTCCAAGCACAGCTGCTGGTGGATTCTGGAAGTGGCCATCCAAAGGGAAGAACCTTTCCTGAGCCTAGGAGGACCTGAGATTTAGCCTTGGCTCCTTTTCCCCAAATGCTGAAGACTAGAACTTCCAGAATACGGGGAAAGACACCTTTTTGGGCTATTGCTTCCAAGCACAGCTGCTGGTGGATTCTGGGAATGGAAGTCCAAAGGGAAGAACGTTCCCTGAGCCCAGGAGGCCTGCCAAGGAGTCCCAGGTGATGGAGGCAATATTTGAGATCTAGCCTTGGTTCCTCTTCTCCAAATGCTGAAGACTAGAACTTCCAGAGCATGAAGAAAGATGTCTTTTTGGACTACTGCTTCCACACACAGCTGCTGGTGGATTCTGGAAGTGGCAGTTCCCTGAGCCCAGGAGGACCACCAAGGAGTCTCAGGTGCTGGAGGCAATATTTGAGATTTATCCTTGGCTCCTTTCCCCCAAATGCTGAAGACTAGAACTTCCAGGTGCCTTTTTGGACTATTGCTTCCAAGCATAGCTGCTGGTGGATTCTAGGAGTGGCAGTCCAAAGGGAAAAACCTTCCCTGAATCCAGGAGGACCACCAAGGAGTCTCAGGTGCTGGAAGCAATATTTGAGATCTAGCCTTGGTTCCTTTTCCTAGAACTTCCAGAGCATGAGGAAAGATGTCTTTTTGGACTACTGCTTCCACGCACAGCTGCTGATGGATTCTGGGAGTGGCCATCCAAAGGGAAGAACCTTTCCTGCGCCCAGGAGGACAGCCAAAGGGTCCCAGGTGCTGGAGGTGATATTTGAGAGAAAGGGACTGGCAAAACCACCCCTGAGGATGCCATGGGGCTGCCACAAGTCAATAGGTGATTGAAGGCACATGAGAAACAGGCATGTAAACACTGCCTGTGGATCACCAGGTACAACACAAAACACACCTGTGTGACATGTAAGCTTTGGGAGGTTCAAGATGTCTGAGGTCAGCTAGAGCAGGTATGGCCAAACATTGGCCCCCCAGGTGTTTTGGACTCCAACTCCCACAATTCCTAACAGCCTCAGGACCCTTCCTTTCCCCCCTCAGCCGCTTAAGCGGCGGAGGGGGGAAAAGGAAAGGGCCTGAGGCTGTTAGGAATTGTGGGAGTTGGAGTCCAAAACACCTGAAAGACCCATCTGAAAGAAGTTGCAGAGGGACCTTGAGACAACCCTCTGCAACTTCTAATATATCTAGTTTCTGCTACCCATCGACCCATTCTCCGACAGATCCCGAGACTCACATCCGCTGGCTGAGCCTGCTGCTGGCCTTGAGCCCGAGGGCCGCGCACAAATCTCCGCCGGAAGAAGAAGGGCGGGGGGCGCCTCCGCCGGGGGCGCTGCTGCACGGCGTCGTCGGCCCTCTCCCCCTCGCTGACCGTCTCGGCGGCCCCCTCCGTCCGGCCACCGTCCTGCTGCTGTTGGGCCTGCCGAGGCCGGGGGATGAAGCGGCGGAAGCGGCGGCGGTTGGGGGCGTAGCGGCTGCCCTTCACCGGGACGCCGCCGGGGCCGGTGACGTTGGCCGCTTCGGCGCCCTGCGGAAGACGGGGAGGGAGACATGAGTTTCGGGGTCCGAGGCACCCTGGCTGAGGGTGGACGACGGCGGAGGGCGGTCTCTCCCCCGGCAGCTACCTTCTCTCCTTCCACCACGTCGAACTCCACCGTCTCCCCGTCTCCAACACTGCGGAGGAACTTGCGGGGATTGTTTCGCTTGATCGCCGTCTGGCAAAGAGAAGATGAGGATTAGTTTTGGAAAGACATTACCTTTTAGGGATCATAACCTTTTGGGAGAACAGGAATCTCCATAACCTTTTGGAAGCATGGCCCTTTTGGAGATTAATTGCTATTCACAGTATTTGAACTAATCATAACCATTTTTCTGAGAAGACTTAAATACTCTGGGTTGTTGTAAGTTTTTCAGGCTGTATGGCCATGTTCTAAAAGCATTCTCTCCTGACGTTTTGCCTGCATCTATGGCAGGCATCCTCAGAGGTTGTGAGGTCTCACAACCTCTGAGGATGCCTGCCATAGATGCAGGTGAAATGTCAGGAGAGAATGCTTCTGGAACATGGCCATACAGCTTGAAAAACTTACAAAAACTGTGAAAGCTTTCAACAATACAGTTGAGTGAATCTTCTCCTTATTGGTAAATAAATATCCAATAGCAAATTAGGTCTCTCAGTTGTTAGACTGATATACCTGGTAATCTTTCTCAACTGATCAGAAAGATTTTCCTGACTATGAGAGCCATTCAGCAGTGGAACACTCTACCCCGGAGTGTGGTGGAGGCTCCTTCTTTAGAAGCTTTTAAACAGAGGCTGGATGGCCATCTGTCAAGGGTGATTTGAATGCAATATTCCTGCTTCTTGGCAGGGGGTTGGACTGGATGGCCCATGAGGTCTCTTCCAACTCTTTGATTCTATGATTCTATGATCAAAGATATGCCAGGTTAAAGGTAAAGGCTTTCCCCTGACATTAAGGCTAGTCATGTCAAACACCGGGGGGTTAGCGCTCATCTCAATTTCTAAGCCAAAGAGCTGGTGTTGTCCGTAGACACCTCCAAGGTCATGTGGCTGGCATGACTGCATAGAGAACTGTTACTTTCCAGCTGAAGCAGTACCTATTGATCTACTCACATTTGCATGTTTTCGAACTGCTTGGTTGGCAGAAGCTGGGGCTAAGAAAGGGAGCTTGCCTCGCTCCCCAGATTCAAACCACCAACCTTTTGTTCAGCAAGTTCAGCAGCTCAATGGTTTCACCTGCTGCATCACCAAGAGCTCCAAGACATGCCAATGCACAAAATATATAGCAAATCTTCATAAGTGTTATTTCAGTTGCTCAAAAACATCTACTTTCCCATAAAACATATTGCTTTTCAATCTCAAGAGACCAAAAATAAGTAGTCTTTGTTAAAAGTAACATAGCTGATTTACTTACAAACTTCATGTATTCAACATACAGGCGCATTGCATATGAGTTGAGAGTTTAAGCAGTAAGTTTTCTAATGCCTTCTATTTCAGTCTCTTCTTTGTTGCATACAGACTAACACTCTCTTCAGTCTAATATATTACTGGACATTGACTCAATATTGACTGACTACACACTGAGGCACACTGACATTGACTACTGCATACTAACACTGCTGACTTCATAAACTGAGCTGACTTCGAAAATGGAGTCTCAGTCTGAATAGACCCAGATCTGGTCGCATGGTCTGCAGTCCCTCCCACAACCTCAAACAACATAGAGCTAAGGGAAAACTGCATTCTAAACCATATATACAGTATATAGTAAGCAATCACAATAATATACATAACAACTAGTTAAGGAGGCTTGTAGAAAGTTGCTATTTCCATCAATTAGAACAACAACGGAGGGTTTGCAGTACAATGTTGAAATTCAGACAGTATGAACCAGGCATGGGCAAACTTCAACCTGACCTCCAGGTGTTTTGGACTCCAACTCCCACAATTCCTAACAGCCGATAGACTGTTAGGAATTGTGGGAGTTGGAGTCCAAAACACCTGGAGGGCCAGAATTTGCTCAAATGAATCAACACAAATTGGGACTATTAAGAGGTATGGTATCTGTATGTGATATGATCCTGGATTGCATAGTTACGAATCTGGAAATAGCTAATTGCATTAATATGGAGCAGCCTCCAGTAAGTGTGCATTCAAATGTCTTTTTTGCAATGGCCAGAAATGAAGAATGGTCTGACAAAAGGAAGTGTTTTCTTTGTTGGCCGCCATGGATGTCACTACAGGTTTGGTATCCCTTATCCAAAATGTCCAGAAGTGGTCTGCATTTTGGAATACAGTTAGAATGATGAGATATATCTAAACTTTTGAGGTGGCAACCGACTTTGGGGTCAAAAATGCTCCTGCAGACCCTATAGAATACATTCCCAAATGCTTTAAGTGGAAAGGCCTCCAGAAATGCCTTCTATTGACTTCTATTTGTCAGTTTTGCCATAACATAGTTCAAGCCTAGCAAGGTGATAAAGAGACACTATGGTTCTTACCTGGTGCACAAACACATCCTCCTTGGTATCATTCCTGCAGTGAGGTGGGGAAAACAGATTATCACGCTTAGCATCATTTTAGGCGAATTACAGATACTTAGAAGGACGTTTAAGACTTCATGGAAGCTTTGAGGCCCAATTTCTCTGAATTTCAGCCCAATTCTGTCCTCTTCCTGCACCAAAAAAGGAGCTATTTGTTTTTGTGTGCCTTTAAGTCTATCTTGGGCTGAAAGTATGTGTATCTAGAGATTCCACCTGAACATTAGGAAGAACTTCTTGACTGTGAGAGAAAGCTGTTCAGCAGTGGAACTCTCTGCCCCAGTGTGTGGTGGAGGCCTTAGAGGCTTTTAAGCAGAGGCTGGGTGGCCATCTGTCGGGGGTGCTTTGAATGTGATTTTCCTGCTTCTTGGAAGAATGGGGTTGGACTGGACGACCTATGAGGACTCTTCCAACTCTAGGATTCTATGAATGTCCACTTCAATATGAATTTGAGTTTATTTATTGTGGTGCAGCTGGCTGAGTGTCAGCTGCATTAAGATCACTCTGACCAAAAGGTCATGAGTTCGAAGCCAGCCCGGGTTGGAGTGGGTTTCCAACCAATTGTGTAGCCTGTTGTCGACCTCTGCAACCCGAAAGACAGTTGCATCTGTCAAGTAGGAAAATTAGGTACCACCTTAAAGTGTAGGGAGGCTAAATTAACTAATTTATGAGGCCATAAAAAAGACTCCAGCAAAAGCATTCCAGCGGGGAAGCATGCGGGGAATGCGGAAGTGCTTCATCAGCGTCGCAGATGGACGATGAAAGCGACAGCTCCCCTGGCAGCCAGAAAAAGTTAAATAGCCTCTGTGTATGTCTGTATATGTTGTATGTTAAAATTGACATTGAATGTTTGCCATATATGTGTACACTGTAATCCGCCCTGAGTCCCCTGCGGGGTGAGAAGGGCAGAATATAAAATCTGTAAATAAGTGAATAAATAAATATTTATATACCGCCTTTCTCAGCCTGAAGGCGACTCAAGGTGACTAATGCAAAATGGACATGCAGGCACATTCTCAAATTTACTAAACCCTGGATATTTCCTAATTAGGTTCTTTAGGCACCCGAGAACATAACAATCATAACAACCATAACTATTATTATTATTATTATTATTATTATTATTATTAGTATTAGTATTATTCCACTCTATCTCCCCAAAGGGACTCCAGGCGGATTCCAAGCATAAAAGGCAAACATTCAATGCCCGATTACAACAACAATACATTCATACTAACAAAATGTATACAACCCAACATATAAACACGAATTATAACTTAACAAACTAAAATTAAATAAAAAGCAAGCTAAATTTCAGTGGTACCCAATGATGGTTTTCGGAGTACAAAGAAGCAAGTAATTTAACTTCCTACCCTAAATAATTTAGTGGAAAACAAATTATTTTATCTATTTGTACCCCCTTTCCTTCCAGGACTAGGAAACAAAGTGGCTCACAAGCTTGTAAATGATACAACTTTTTTTAAAAAAACCCTCTCAAGATATAAACATTAAAACAGAATGTTACACTTATTAAAACAATTTAAAACAGCAGTTTCCTTCCTCTCAACTTGGATATCTGAACAGAAGGCATGCCAGAGCAAACCTGGGCCAACTTGGGCCGGTAGGCTGTTAGGAATTGTGGGAGTTGAAGTCCAAAACACCCGGAGGGCCCAAGTTGGCCCGTGACTGTCCTAGAGACTTGTTAACACTCCCGCTTAGGTTTTCGTATATTAATTTATATCTTGATGTCCAAGGTTTGCTCAAGGCCCTCCCTTTCATTATCTTGGGTGGGGCCCAAAAGGCCTGCAAAGAATGGCAAGACAGCAGAGTAATCTTTGCTCCTCTGACTCAGTTGCTTCTTTCCAGGAGGAAGTTGGACACCGGGAAAAAACAGAGAGAGCAATTCAGCCTCACTTCTAAAGCCAAGCGAGTGTGCATAAGACCATGTCCAGAGTGGCTTCATCCTCATCAAAGGGTCAGACGTAGGCCATTTGCACTGTTCTAGGTCTGTAGAGGAAGTGGGAATATCCCCAAGGAAACTTGATAGAGAAGTACGGAGTTGGGATGTACCTTCTTCTACCTATGTAGCAAATACTAAGGGTTGCTGCTGGGTTCAATACTCTCCAAAGGTTACTGTAAGTTTTTTGGGCTGACTGGCCATGTTCCAGAAGCATTCTCTCCTGACATTTCACCTACATCTATTGCAGGTTGTGACCTCACAACCTCTGAGGATGCCTGCCATAGATGCAGGTGAAACATCAGGAGAGAATGCTTCAGGAACATGGTCATACCACCCGAAAAACCTACAGCAACCCAGTGATTCTGTCCATGAAAGCCTTCGGCAATACTCCAAAGGACTATTACCTCTCTCTCCTATGAAACCAAGACATTTCAACATTTTCAGTTCAGAATACTTCTCTCTGGGATCTCTCCCAGTTTGTGTACTCACTGTTTACATTTTGTCTGTGGCATTTGCTCTGACACACCTTTTCCTCTTTTTTTCTCCCTTCTGTCTTAAAATTGCAGCAGGTTACAACCTGTGTTTTCTCATTTGCAGCTGACATTCCGCCCCACCTGCTCCCATTGACAAAGAATCCGAGGGATCCCCCAAAATCCCACAAGAGGCTCACCTGTTTATGAATCCATAGCCATTGCGGACGTTGAACCATTTCACCGTGCCTTGCACCTGGGTGGCTGCAAAACATTGCCGAGAAGAAAACGAATGAAGTCTCAAGCACCCACACATTTCACTTACGCTGTCAATGGGCATGGGCCAACTTTGGCTCTCCCTCCAGGACTCTAATTCCCACAACGTGAATATGCAGATGATCCCTTGATTGACTTAAGTGCCCAGTTCCAAGACAACAAAGGCATGGACCAACTTGGGCCCTCCTTCCAGGTGATTTGGACTCCAATTCCCACAACTTGGGTATGTAGATGATCCCTTGATTGACTCAAATGCCCAGTTCCAAGAGGACAAAGGCACGGGCCAACTTCGGCTCTCCTTCCTGGTGTTTTGGACGCCAACTTCCACAATGTGGCTATGCAGATGATCCCTTATTATTATTATTATTATTATTAACTTATTTATATCCCGTTTTATCTCTCCATACGAAGACTCAAAGTGGCTCACATTCAAAAACATAATGTAAAACATACAAAAACACAAGAATAAAAGTATATAATTACATATTATAATACATTTTCAGTAGTATATTTAATATATTAGAATGATTATATTACATTATTATATATTATATTGTATTATTATTGTATTGTATTGCATTACATTATAATATTATCAATATTATATATACACTAGCCGTCCCCTGCCACGCGTTGCTGTGGCCCAGTCTGTGTATTTGTGTTTTGTGTATGTATATGTGTGTGTGTATATTTTGTGCATATGTGTATGTTTGTGTGTATATATGTGGTTTTGTGCATGTGTTGTAATGTATGGGGGGTGTTTGCTTTTTAAGTCTCTTCCACTGTATTTTTCAGTGTGTTTATGAGTGATGGTCACTCATTGGTCTGAGAGGTGTCTTGTGTCCAAATTTGGTATCAATTGGTCCAGTGGTTTTTGAGTTAATTCCACAAATGATCATTACATTTTTATTTATATAGATTAACATAGTACAATATTAATATTATATATTATTATACTGTACTATACCACTATACTGCAATATTATTAGTAATACTGGATTCCAACTCCCACAATGTGGGTATATAGATGAACCCTTGATTGACTTAAGTGCCCAGTTCGAAGAGGACCAAGGTATGGGCCAATTTTGGCCCTCCCTCCAGGTGTTTTGGACTCCAACTTCCACAATTCCTAACAGCCTACCAGCTGGGTTGCTGTAAGTTTTTTGTGCTGTCTGGTCATGTTCCAGAAGCATTCTCTCCAGACGTTTCACCTGCATCTATGGCAGGCATCCTCAGAGGTTCTGAGGCCTGCTGGAAACTAGAAAAATTGGGTTTATGTATCTGTGGAATGATGTCCGGGCTGGGAGAAAGAACTCTTGTCTGTTGGAGGCAAGTGTGAACGTTGCAATGTTGTTCTCTCAGGCAGGAAACAGCCCAGCTTTGAAGCTGTTAGGAATTGTGGGATTTGGAACCCAAAACACCTGGAGGGAGGGCCGAAGTTGGCCCATGCCTTGTGTAGATGCACTCTTGAATAGAGCTGGCAGCTCAAATACTTTGGGGTAGGTTTCAGATCTCTCCCAGTTTGTGTACTCACTGTTTACATTTTGTCTGTGGCTCTGACACACCTTTTCCTCTTTTTTCTCCCTAAGTTTCCCTAATACACTTCTCCCCTCATTGTTTCTTTGTTGGCTTTGTATTCCCTTCTCTTTGTTTCTTCCTTCCCTTTCTTCACAGTGTCCCACCCAACTCTCATGGCAAGATATGCGCTGCATTCAAATGCCCCCTTGGCCTGCACTTTCCCCTTCTCAGGAGTAAGAGTTTGTTGTTTTTTCCCTCCCGCAAGGCTACAAGTGAATATCACCCCCAAAAAGTGGCCCCATACCGTCCTTCCTTTGGGTGCCTTCAGTTAAAGGGCCAGGAAGACAGGAACAGGGAGGCTTTGGTCTGTCCCTGGGTCAGCAATGAAGGACCAATCCGGCATCATCCCAACATTTGGGAGCCTTCTTTTGAACCGGCATTGGGTTGGACTAAATGACCTCTAGGGTCCCCTCCAGCGTTATGATACTGGTGCCCAGTTGGTGCTTGGAAAAAGGGATTCTCACAATTGTAGTGTGAAAAAGTTAAAAGGGCAAACGAATAGCCTCTCTTAGGGGGATGCTGGGAGTTGTCCTTCCCTACACCACCTTGTTTGGAACTTATCATCTTCCTCTCTGCGCCTGCATGCTTGTCCACAATGTCCTGCCTCATGTCCAGAGGAAGAACTGTTTAAAGCTTCAGACAATGCGGTGGCTGTTGCCCGGTTTTTGGTCAATAATTATTTATCCGCTTGTGCTCCCTCGATTTTATCAGTTTTACGCTTATTTATGCAATGCTATTGACACAAAATAAATAAACCTGAGGCCTCAGGTAAGAACTCCACGCCCACCAAACTGTGAAAGCCACGCCCCTCGCTTGGATAGCCACGCCCACCGAGGGGAAAATAAAGCTATTCAAGCCAAAGCCACGCCCCTTCACTTTTAGCCCCACCTCTCACTTAATATTATTATAATTATAATTATTATTATATTATTATAATTATTATATGGCTTTGCCCAAGGGGGAAAAAAACTTACACTAGTCTAGAAGTCCCCGCCCACTGGGAATAAACACAGATATTATAATAATTATTATTACATGGCTTTGCCCAAGAATTTTTTTTTACAGTAGTCTAGAAGGCCCCGCCCACTGGGAATAAACACAGACCAGGCCACTCCCCCTTCAGTGAAACCCCGCCCCTCACCGAAAACTTGAGGCTTTTGAGGTAGAACGCCACGCCCACTCCCCAGGAGGCCACGCCCACTCAAAAAGAAGGCTCAGAAGCATCACTAATTACTGGCTTCAAAGGGGGCCTTTGAGGCTCCACCCACTCCATTAGAAGTCCCCGCCCACTGGGAATAAACAGCTAGACTAGGCAACGCCTCCCGCAGAGAAACCGAAGGGGGTCTTTGAGGAAGAACGTCACGCCCACTCCCCAGGAGGCCCCGCCCACTCAGAGAAGCCTCAGAAGCCTCACTAAATGTAAGCTCCAAAGGGGGACTTTAAGGCTCCACCCACTCTCTGAGAAGGCCCCGCCCACTCCTCGCCTAAAACCCCAAAGAGGGATTTGAGGTAAAAAGCCACGCCCACTTCCCGGAAGGCCACGCCCACTCAAAGAAAGAAGTCTCATACTGGCGCCAAATGGGGCCTCACAGGCTCCACCCACTCCCTGAGAAGGCCCCGCCCCCGGCTCGTCGCCCCGCCCACTCAGGCCTCAGAAGCCTCACTAAATGCAGGCTCCAAATGGGGCCTTACAGGCTCCGCCCACTGGGAATAAACAGATAGACTGGGCCACGCCTCCTGCAATGAAACCGAAGGGAGTCTTTGAGGTGGAACGCCACGCCCACTCCCCAGAAGACCCGCCCACTCAAAGAAGCCTCAGAAATCTCACTAAATTCTGTCTTCAAAGGGGACTTTTAGGCTCCACCCACTCTCTGAGAAGGCCCCGCCCCCGGCTCGTCGCCCCGCCCACTCCCACTAAGGCCTCAGAGGTCTCACTAAATGCAGTCTCCAAATGGGGCCTTACAGGCTCCACCCACACCATTAGAAGGCCCCGCCCACTGGGAATAAACAGATAGGCTAGGCCACGCCTCCTGCAGTGAAACCGAAAAAGATCTTTGAGGCAGAACGCCACGCCCACTCCCAGAAGGCCACGCCCACTCAAAGAAAGAAGCCTCAGAAGTCTCACTAAATGTTAGCTCCAAATAGGGCCTTACAGGCTCCACCCACTATCTGAGAAGGCCCCGCCCCCAGCTGCTCGCCCCGCCCACTCCCACCAAGGCCTCAGAAGCCTCACTAAATGCAGGCTCCAAATGGGGCCTTACAGGCTCCACCCACTCTCTTAGGAGGCTCCGCCCCGGTTGGTGGCCCCGCCTACTCCTCATTTCACTTAAACTTCCAAAGAGCCCATTGAGGTAAAAGGCCACGCCCATTTCCAGGAAGGCCACGCCCACTCAAAGAAAGAAGACTCATACAGGCGCCAAACGGGGGGCTTTCAGGCTCCACCCACTATATGAGAAGGCCCCGCCCCCGGCTCGTCGCCCCGCCCACTCCCACCAAGGTCTCACTAAATGCAGTCTCCAAATGGAGCCTTACAGGCTCCACCCACTCTCTTAGGAGGCCCCGCCCACTGGGAATAACCAGCTAGACTAGGCCACGCTTCCTGCAGTGAAACCGAAAGGGGTCTTTAAGGTAGAACGCCACGCCCACTCTCCAGAAGGCCCCGCCCACTCAAGCCTGAGAAGTCTCACTAAATGCTGCCTCCAAAGGGGGACTTTAAGGCTCCACCCACACCATTAGAAGGCCCCGCCCACTGGGAATAAACACATAGAGTAGGCCACGCCTCCTGAAGGGAAACCCAAGGGAGTCCTTGAGGCAGAACGCCACGCCCACTCCCCTGAAGGCCCCGCCCACTCAGAGCAAGAAGCCTTGCTGACTGCTGGCTCCAAAAGGGGGCCTCTCAGGTTCGACCCACTCTCTGAGAAGGCCCCGCCCCCGGCTGGTGGCCCCGCCCCCTTCCCACCAAGCCCCGCCCCGCCCCGCCCCGCCCTCCTCGGAGGCCCCGCCCCTCACCTAAGACCCGCTTGGCGGCCTGGCTGCGGGCGCCTCCGACTCCGGCGGCGTTGTTGGCCGGCTTGGCCGCCGCGGGCTCCCCCGCAGGGCTCTCGGCTCCGCTCTCCGCTTCGCTCAGCATGCCCTCCTCCTCCTCCTCCGCCTCGCCTCGCCTCCCGCCCGGCAGACCGTCCGTCCCGTCCCGTCCGTTGGCGGCGTCGAACCTTGGGCCACACCCGGCCTCCGCGCGGCGCCAACGCCCAATCAGCAACCGCCGCCGCCCGCTCCTCCGCGCAGCCCCGCCCCTCCGCTCCCGCCCACGCGCCCCCCCGCGCTCTCCGCCAATCAGCAGCCACGCACGCCCCCCCCGCCTCCCCGCCAAGGCCTTTTATGGGCGGCGCCGGACACGCCCCCCTGCGCCCCCATTGGACGAAGGCGCCCGGCCAGGTGCGCTCGCGCCACGTGGGCGCCCGGCAGGTGGAGGCGCCTCCAGGGAAGTTACTTTCGAGGAAGTTGCTTCTTCGCCGTCCAAATGGGCGTTATGTGTGGCTAGGGGTATGGGGTTTGTAGTCCCAAGGAAAAGGCAACTCTGGGGCTAGGTTGTGGGACTTGTAGTCCCCAAATGGCAACTGTGTGGCTTCGTTGTGGTTGCCACCCCAAAAAAGGCACTACATTATGGGATTTGTAGTCCCAACGTGGAGTTATGCCACTAGATTGTGGGTTTTGTAGTCCCAACGTGGAGTTATGGCACTAGATTATGCGGTTTGTAGTCCCAACATGGAGTTATGACACTAGATTACGGGGTTTGTAGTCCCAACGTGGAGTTATGGCACTAGATTATGGGATTTGTAGTCCCAACTTGGAGTTATGACACCGTATTATTGGATTTGTAGTCCCAACGTGGAGTTATGCCACTAGATTGTGGGTTTTGTAGTCCCAAAATGGAGTTATGCAACTAGATTATGGGATTTGTAGTCCCAACGTGGAGTTATGACACTAGATTACGGGGTTTGTAGTCCCAACGTGGAGTTATGGCACTAGATTATGGGATTTGTAGTCCCAACGTGGAGTTATGACACTAGATTATGGGATTCGTAGTCCCAACATGGAGTTATGCCACTAGATTGTGGGGTTTTGTAGTCCCAACGTGGAGTTACGCCACTAGATTGTGGGTTTTGTAGTCCCAACGTGGAATTATGCCACTGGATCGTGGGTTTTAGGAATTGTAGCCCCCCAAATGGCAGCTGGGAAACTAGGTTGTGGGATTTGTAGTCCCAACATTGGAGTTGTGTAGCTAGGTTATGGGGTTTGTAATCCCCAAATGGCAACTGTGTGGCTTCGTTGTGGTTGCCATCTGAAAATGGCACTACATTATGGGATTTGTAGTCCCAATGTGGATTTATGACACTAGATTATGGGGTTTGTAGTCCCAACTTGGAGTTATGACACTAGATTATGGGATTTGTAGTCCCAACGTGGAGTTATGATACTAGATTATGGGATTTGTAGTCCCAAGATTCAGCTGTGCCGCTAGATTATGGGATTTGTAGTCCCAACGTGGAGTTATGACACTAGATTATGGGATTTGTAGTCCCATTTATGAAATTGGATTATGGGGTTTATAGTCCAAAAACTGGGTTTATGCTGTTAGATGATGGGATTTGTAGTCCCAAAATGGAGTTGTGCATTCAAGTTATGGGATTTGTACTCCCAAAGTTGAGTTATGCTACTAGATTATGGGATTTGTAGTCCCAAAACTAGGGTTATGCGGTTAGATTATGGAATGTGTAGTCCCCAAATGACAATTGTGTGGGTAGCTGATTGGAGTTGTAATTTGAAAATAATTGGAGTTGTGTAGCTATCTTATGGGATTTGTAGTCTCCAAAGAACAACTGTGTAGCTAGGTTGTGGTTCCAATCCAAAAATGAGAGTTATGCAACTAGATTATTGGATATGTAGTCCCAAAGTGGCAGCTGTGGAGCTAGGTTGTGGGATTTGTAGCCCCCCAAATGGTAGTCGTGTGGCTAGAATGTGAGATTTGTAGTGCCAAAATTGGAGTTATGCAGCTAGGTAAAGAATTTGTAATTCCAAAATTGGAGTTACATGGCTAGATAATGGGATTTATAGTCCCAAAATGGCAACAGTGTGGATAGGTTGTGGTTGCAGTCCCAAAATTGGAGTTATGTAGCTAAATTATGGGATTGGTAGTCCCCAAAATTGGGGTTATGTAGCTAGAGTGTGAGATTTGTAGTTCCCAAATGACAGTCATGTGACTTGTTTGTGGGATTTATAGTCCCAAAATTGGAGTTATGCAGCTAGGTTATTGGATATGTAGTCCCAAAATGGCAACAGTGTGGCTAGGTTGTGGCTGCAATCCGAAAATGGGAGTTATGTGACTAGATTATGGGACTTGTAGTCCTAAATTAGAGTTGTGCAACTAGATTATGGCATTTGTAGCCCTAAAGTGGAGTTATGTGACTAGATTATGGGACTTTTAGTCCTAAACTAGAGTTGTGCAGCTGGATTATGGGATTTGTAGCCCTAAAGTGGAGTTATGCAACTAGATTATGGGATTTGTAGCCCTAAAGTGGAATTATGTGACTAGATTATGGGACTTTTAGTCCTAAACTGGAGTTGTGCAGCTAGATTATGGGATTTGTAGCCCTAAAGTGGAGTTATGCAACTAGATGATGGGATTTGTAGTCCCAAAATGGAGTTGTGCAGCTATATTATGGGATTTGTTGCCCTAAAGTGGAGTTGTGCAACTAGATGATGGGATTTGTATTCCCAAAATGGAGTTGTGCAGCTATATTATGGGATTTGTAGTCCCCAAATGGCAATTGTGCATGCAGATGATTGGAGTTGTGGTCCGAAAACAATTGCAGTTGTGTAGCTAGGTAAAGGATTTTTAATTCCAAAATTGGAGTTACGTGGCTAGGTTATGGGATTTGTAGCCCCCCAATGGCAGTTGTGTGGCTAAATATCTGTGATTATGGTTATGCAGCTATATTATGGGATTTGTAGCCCCCAAAGTGTCGCTCTGGTGGATGCTGGGAGTTGTGGTTCATAAGGCGCAGCTGCAGGCCTGGCAATGCAGTGGATTGTTTATCTAGATGAGATAAAAGCCCCTAAATACCGTATTACCATGAACCCAAAGAATCTGTTCTTCTCCCAAGAGAGGCAGAAACCGGTGACTGGCAGTCCGAGGTCACTTGAGGACACGCCTGGAACACGCTTCCTTGTTTTGGAAGACTGTCGCCAAGAGTTACTTGTTATTTTGAAAATAATCTTCTTAACTTCGATTTCTATAAACAAGTAATATGTATTTCATTGCCTTACACAATTCTTCTCTCGGAGCCTTGAGTATATGTGTTGGACTATAACTCCCAAAGTCCAAATTTGGTTACTCTCTTTCACTTTCCTATATGGCAACCCTTCAATGTTTCTATATGAACCTTCACTTGGGGACCTTGTGTTGGACTATAATTCCCATCTCTGCTACTAGGGTTGATGGGAGTTGCAGTACCAAACATTACAGATTGGGGAAAGCTTCTGCTACCAGATATACGTGCTGGACTACATCTCCCATCACCCCCAGCTACTATAGCCCTGGTCCTGCTACTGGAGATGATAGGAATTGTAGTACCAAGAATTACAGATTGGGGAAAGCTTCTACTACCTGATATACATGCTGGACTACATCTCCCATCACCCCCAGCCAGTATAGCCCTGGTCCTGCTACTGGAGATGATAGGAATTGTAGTACCAAACATTACAGATTGGGGAAAGCTTCTACTACCTGATATATGTTCTGTACTACAACTCCCATCACTCCCAGCCAGTATAGCCCTGGTCCTGCTACTGGAGGTGATAGGAATTGTAGTACCAAACATTGTAATCGTGCCCATATTGGGGAAAGCTTTCCACAACCTGATATATGTGTCGGATTACAACTCCCATCACTGCAACCAGCACAGCCCCTGGCCCACTACTGGGAGTGATGGGAGTTGTAGTACAACTCATGTAGAAATGTCCAGATTTGAGGAAAGCTTCTGCAAACCTACCTTCCTTTACACAGGAAGTAAATTCAAATTAAGCACAGTGGGACTTACTTCTGAGCAAAACAACAGACATTCGATCGTTTGTAAATAAACACAGCTGTCTGTTCAGTCTTTCGTTGGAGTTGCATCTACACAATGTTATAATATCGCCACTCTGGATTGCATCTACACTATAGATTTAATGCAGTTTGACCCACTTTAACTGCCATGTTTCAGTGCTAGAAAATGCTGGTAGTTTTGCAAAGTGGTGCCTCACCAAACTACACCGCCAGGCACCTCAATTAAAGTGGTATGAAATCGTATCCATTCTACAATGTAGACACACCATCTTCCAGCAGACCTAGCAAGGAATGATGGGTGCTGCAGTCAAACTTATCCTCCAGTCTGCATGGTTCCCTACTCTACCTTTCAAATAGAAAAATTGGGCAATAATAATAATAATAATAATAATAATAATAATAATTTATTAAAATAAATTGGTCAATAATAATAATAATAATAATAATAATAATAATATCCATCTGTATGTGCTTAAGCCTATTGTCTCATAATGATTCTTCAAAGGCCAATAATAATAATAATAATAATAATAATAATAATAATAATAAATTATTAAAATAAATTGGTCAATAATAATAATATAACATTTTCTAAATTTTCTTAATTGAATTTTTTCCCTCCCAGAAATTCTTCCATTCATTAAAATATAATAATAATAATAAATTATTCAAAATAATAATAATAATTTAATCAAAATATATTAATAATTAAAATAAATTGGTCAATAATAATAATAATAATAATATCCATCTGTATGTGCTTAAGCCTATTGTCTCATAATGATTCTTCAAAGGCCAATAATAATAATAATAATAATAATAATAATAATAATAATGATAAATTATTAAAATAAATTGGTCAATAATAATAATAATAACAATTTATTAAAAGAAATTGGTCAATAATAATAATAATAATAATAATAATAATACTCCTGTGTGCTTAAGCCTATTGTCTCATAATGACTCTTCCAAGGCCATCACAGAGCCTTGGAAAGTTACTTTTTTAATGTAATCTAACACATTTGGTTTATAGAGGAGTGCTGTAGCACACTGTGGAATATATATATTCTTTATCTAGTTTAATGGAGACCCCAGTGGCGCAGTGGGTTAAACCCCTGTGCCGGCAGGACTGAAGACTGACAGGTTGCAGGTTTGAATCTGGGGA